CTCAGCGGTTAGAGCGTCGGCCTTCGGTGCAGAGGGACCCGGGTTCGGTTCCCGCTAAGAGCATGTGCCTCGGTTGCAGTTTGTCCCCGGCCCTGGTTGGTCGAGCGGGTGGCAGCCACTCGATGTGTCCCTTTCACGTCGATGTTTCTATCTCTCTCTCTCTTCCACTCTCTCCCTCCCACTCTATCTGAACAAAAAAATGGAAAAACGTCCTCGGGTGAGGATAAAAAATAAATAAATAAAAATATTAAAAAAAAGAAAACAGGTAGCCCTGTGAAACACACACACACACACACACACACGCACACGCACCCCCCCATTACCAAAAAAACATCTGTTTCTAAACTCCACTTGGAAGTATCATAAGAACTTTATCATTTCCAAAGCATGTTCGCTTCCAAGGATATTTTGGTTGCTGTCGTTAATCCTCACCTGAGGATTTCCCCCCCATTGATTTTTAGAGAGAGTGGAAGCGAGGTAGGGAGGGAGAGAGACAGAGAAAGAGAAACATAGATGTCAGAGAGATACATCCATTGGCTGCCTCCTACATGACGCTGACCAGGGCCCAGGATTGAACCTGCAACCCAGGTACGTGCCCTTGACCGGGAATTGAACCTGCGACCCTTCAGTGCACGGGCCGATGCCCTAACCATTGAACCACTCCGGACAGCGGGCGTCCATGGATTTTTAAAAGGTAAGAGCTGTCCCTGCGTGGAGCATAATTTGGGTCTCACTGGTTCTGTCTGGCTGTCAGCTCTCCGTGGGCAGTGCTGGGACTCAGGTCTGGAATGTCTTCCATTGGGTGAGGCTGGTGATTGGGTTGGGGGAGGGGAAGCAGAGCCTAGTCCTTAGGACATGCATGTTTCTGTCCCCACCTGCACCTGTCACAGGTTGGGGAAGGCCTCCCGCCAGCCTGCTGGTCCCAGGGGACAGGGGCCGCGTGGAGCAGAGCCCGGGCTGCAGTGAGCACGAGCGACCCAGCCATCGCTGGCCTGGGAGTCGGAGACACACTCTGATTGGTGCATCTCCCTGAGACTGAGTCTCTTTGAGTCAGGGTTCGAGAGCTGAAGCCACTTGGCCAAGGTCCCCCAGGACTAAGAAGTAAACTCAGGCCTGATTAAGGCCACAGGTGGGTTCCTGAGTTGCCAGAAGCTTCTCCCCACTCCTTCCTGCTCAGTGAAAGGGAACAGCATGCGTTTTAGCAAGACGTGCCCAGCGCTCAGCTAACTTGCAGCGAGGAGCCATGGGAAGTGGGTTCGGCGTTCCCAGTGCCTGTGGACGTCCCTGCGGTGACACTGTCCCCTGCTGGAGGGGCAGGCCAGCAGGTGGGCCCTCTGCTCTCACTTTGTCACTGCTCTTGGTGGGGGTCAGCGGTGCGGCAGGAGGCCAGGAGGCCCCAGGAAGCAGCCTGTTGTCAGCGGGGTGAGGTGCTGGAAGGTTTTACCCCTGGGGTCCCGGGATGCGGTCCCGGGACGGGGTCCGACGCTCAGCTCCTCTGCTGTTACCTAAGCGACCTTGCAGCTCTTGGAGTACGAGCATGAATGTGTATCTTCTCCACAGACGTCCTGATGAAGACTCAGTTATTATTGTCACGCCTCACTGGAGAACATAACGTCCACAGGCTAAGCCACAGAATTTCCCAGTGCCTCTCAGGCCACTTTCTCTCATCTCCTTCAACCCCGCGGTCACGTGTTTGGCCCCCACGTCGCACCTCCCTGGAGTCAGGGTTCACAGGACATCACCTCCCCTGTCGGAGGTGTGTCCTGGAGGTTCGTTCAGAACAGGGTGGTGGGCACCTTGGGGTTCTGTTGGGGACAGACTTTCTGAGCCAGTTCCTTCCAACCTGGTCCTCCCAGCTGTCAGGGAGAGGGCCCCTTCAGAGAATAGGGCTGGGGGCTGTCACTGCACTGGCCTAGGGTGCCCATGAATGTTTTCTGGTTATCTGTCCCCCCTCAGGGGCAGGGTTGCTTCTGGGTCTGTCCATCAGCCTAGGTCCCTAGGACGTGTGGTGGGCATCCCTGGACCACAGCCTCAGCACAAGTGGGGAGCCTGTGGGAAGGCAGACCCTTGGGGCCCTGGACCACGGGGTGTGACTCTGCGTGTACACTGCAGTCCGAGAGGCACTGGTCTCCAGCACTGACCGCTCAGACCAGCCCATGGGCACCCACAGCGGCACCCAGGAACCGTGATGGGGAGCGGAGCGTTTAAGAAAAGCCTGTGCCGCCCTGGCCAGTTTGGCTCAGCGGTTAGAGCGTCGGCCTGCGGTCCGGAGAGACCCGGGTTCGGTTCCCGCTAAGGGCACGTACTTCGGTTGCAATTTGTCCCCGGCCCTGGTTGGTCGTGCGGGTGGCAGCCACTCGATGTGTCCCTTTCACATCGATGTTTCTCTCTCTCTCTCCCTTCCTCTCTCTCCCTCCCACTCTATCTGTACAAAAAATGGAAAAATATCCTCGGGTGAGGATAAAAAAAAAATAAAAAAATAAAAAAATAAGAAAAGCCTGTGCCATGCATCTGGGTGCCTTTGCCCAGTCCCTTCCCCCTTCCGTCTTCGGGGAGTAGACCTGGGCAGTGCCCAGCTGCAGCTTCCTGGCAAAGCTGTGGAAATGGGCTTCACTATCTGGTCTCCCCGTTCGCTTCGAGCCTGTTAAATAATAACCAGATCACTACACCGGCATCGGTGTGTAAACACCCAGCACCATTTATCGTCTCTTTCCCGGGACATTTGCAATCTTACATCATATGTAACCAATTATTAAGTTGAACCGGGCCCATGTGGCATCTCGGTGAATGGCTAGGCCGTACACACACTGCAATCCGGTCTGCGGGGAAATCACTTAGAACACATGAAATTGGTTTTTGCTTTCAAAACAAAAATGCCCCCGCCTGCCCCCGCCCGAGGCTGACCCAGTGGGGCTGGGTACGTGGCGGCAGCAGGTGTTCATGCTCCCGGGAGTCAGGACCAGGGTGAGAGGGACCATTTAGATCCCCAGCCCTGACCAGGAGGGGGACAGGGCAGAGTCCCCTGAGGGGCCATTTCAGATGACACAGGCACCCACACACCCCTGTCCCCACGCTCCTTCCTCACCCGGGATAGCCTCTGAGCATTTTCTTTATTATTTTTTATCCTCATCCGAGGACACTTTTGCACTTATCTTCAGATAGAGCGGGAGGGAGAGAGAGAGAGAGAGAGAAACATCGATGTGAGAGAGACACATCGACTGGCTGCCACCCACACGACCCCAAACGGGGTCAGTGACAAACTGCATCCGAGGTACGTGCCCTTAGCGGGAACCGAACCTGGGTCTCTCTGGTCGGTGGGCTGACGCTCTAACCGCTGAGCCAAACTGGTCAGGGAAGCTCTGGGCATTTTCAGTGAAGAAAAACACTTAGAGCAACTGAGCAAAATATCTGCTGAGCCAGGTTCAATGTTGAGTCACCAACACGAATGAAAGTATACACATGTGGGCCCCTCAAACCCAGCACCCGGGCCCCTCGAACCCAGCACCCGGGCCCCTCGAACCCAGCACATGGGCCACTCGAACCCAGCACCCGGGCCCCTCAAACCCAGCGCATGGGCCCCTCAAACCCAGCACCCGGGCCCCTCGAACGCAGAACACGGGCCCCTCGAACCCAGCACATGGGCCCCCTCGAACCCAGCACCCGGCCCCTCAAACCCAGCACCAGGCCCCTCAAACCCAGCACCCGGGCCCCTCGAACCCAGCACCCGGCCCCTCAAACCCAGCACCAGGCCCCTCAAACCCAGCACCCGGGCCCCTCAAACCCAGCGCATGGGCCCCTCGAACCCAGCACTCGGGCCCCTCAAACCCAGCACATGGGCCCCTCAAACCCAGCACCTGGGCCCCTCGAACCCAGCACCCGGATCCTCAAACCCAGGACCCGGGCCCCTCGAACCCAGCACCCGGGCCCCTCAAACCCAGCGCACAAACCCCTCAAACCCAGCACCCGGGCCCCTCAAACCCAGCACCCGGGCCCCTCAAACCCAGCGCACGCGCCCCTCAAACACCACAGGATGGCCTAGACTTTAAGGACAAGAGAGTTCCAGGGTTAAGAAAGTTTAAATGGAAGTTCTGTCATTTAGGAATTGTTGACTTTGGCCCCGTTTCTAGACCTCGGCTGTGAAATGGGGGTGAAGTACCACTTCCACAGGTCGTTGTGAGTTAAAGGAGACGATGTCCTGGGGCACGGTACGCCATGCCTGGTGTGCACTAAGCATTTAACAAATATTTATTGTCGACAACAACATCGATGAGTGACGACCTGCCGCTGCTCACCGCGGCGCCACTCGAGTGGAAAACCCGGCAATACGTGGGAAGAGGCTTAGCCATGTTCAAGCCCGGTACTTCTACCTCTGTAAGTCTATTTTCTGGAAATCATCTCAGAAAGAGGACCATGCTGGCTCTTTGCCTGAGAGTGAGCAACCAGAAGCAACCCAAATGTCCCCAGATGTCGCACGGGAGGGCACGGAGTAGGCGGACCGTGTTCGATAGCGCTCCTGTCTCAAACGACGTTTCAGCGGGTCCCCTGTGCTAGGTGACCGCTGCAAGGCGAACAGAAAAATGCAGGACACAAAATGACACACCGTTGTAAGTAAACACCGTTCAAACAACATCCCCGAAGCCCAGAGAAACAGACCAGAGCTGGGAGGCTTTGGGCGACTTTTTTTCCTACTTCTTTTTTTTTCAATGTCTCCTTAACAGACATGTATTATTTTTACGACGACAAAACCAAACGAAGCCCCCCACCCCCGTTTAAAAACATCTTTCTCACTAACATTAACTAATGCCTTGACTTTTAAGATGTTCTAGTCCACAACCCCTTAACTTTGAGAATTTAAGGGAGAATCCCAAGATGTATTTTATAATAAAGAACTTCACCAAATAACTGGCGTTTTCGATCCTTTGGTTGAGAACCCCTTGTTTCTATGTGGCCTGGGCTCCCCACGGGGCACGCGTGACGGGCGTGGCCATCCCTGTCCTTACCATTAGGGCTGTCCATGGCGCCTTCTGGACACACGGCTGACCCCTCCGGCCCCACACACCAGTACATGCTGGGTGGTCTGGGTGGTCGCTGCGACATGCCAGCCATCAACCCTCGGGATGGCTGCCCCCCAAGTCAGTGCTGGCCGTGGTCACAGCTACTGCTGCCCGAGGGGTGGTCTAAGGCACGGACGCACGGTCATGGCTGAGCAGAGAGCCGTCTTGTTCTGGTGATAAAAAAAACAACAACACATCATAAAATCAGAAAGTGTTTCTTAACGGTCAGATCCCTTCCTGCACGCTGCCTATATTCTTCTTGGTTCATTGGTATTTCCCCTCCCTTGGGCAACATCCCTCCTCACCATCCGTCTACCCGCCACACCTGTCAAGTGGGGACAGTGCAGACGCAGCTCCCCCCCCCCCACCTCCCAGCTGGCCTCCAATCATGGCTCCCCGAGGAGAACCTGAGAGAAACCCCCAACAATGGGGTCCCATCATTGTTCCATCAACGCATACCCACTGTCCCTTGCAAAGCCACACGGACATCTAAATGAGGCTCCTGCCTTCAGGGGCTCACACTCCAGGGGTGTGGCAGACACAGTTACAGTCAGTCCCAAACAAGGCCGTCCCTTTGCACGGGACAGACTCCTCTGGAAGTCCAGAGGTGGGCGTAATTCCAAAAAGGCTGTCAGGTAACAGTCCCAAAGGGAAGGGGTCTGGCCTTGGCCAGTGTGCTCAGTGGTGCTCAGTGCATTGGCCCATGCACTGAAGGGTTGCAAGTTCGATTCCTAGGATTCTCTCCTGGTCAAGGGCATGTACCCGGGTTGCAGGTTTGATCCCTGGCCCCAGTCAGGGTCTGTGCAGGAGGCAACCAATTGATGTGTCTCTCTTACATCGATGTTTCTCTCTCTCTCTCTCCCCCCCCCCTTCCACTCTCTCTAAAAAGCAAGGGAAAAATATCCTCGGGTGAGGATTAACAAAGAGAGAGAGAGAGAGAGGAGAGAAGGGGTCTGGAAGGTATTGGTATGATTATGGAGCCAAGTCAGTCTGAGCCCCAGGGGTCAGTGAAGGGGCCCCCTGGCACCCAGGGCACATTGGACAGTGCCTGGAGACATTTCTGGCTGTCGCCACCAGGGGTGGTGGCGCGATCGGCATCCAGAGGGTAGAAGTCAGGGACACTGCTGACCACCCCACAGGAGAACGCGCCAGCCAAACAGCTGGAGTGACCAGGAGACGCTGAGTTAGACTAAGATCCATCTCCTAAACCTAATGGGGCTACTCTCTCCTCTGGGCTTCCACGGGGCTTGGGCGAGTCCCCTAACATCAGTGCCCATCCTGCCACGGTGACTAAACGACCCGAAGCACCTTGAGGGCAAGCACAGGGGTGGCACGGGCTACGCTGCATGGCGAGAAGGGTCTTGCCACGTGAAATGCACGCGTTTCTATTACGTGTCTGCTTTCTGTACTGGATGGAAATGAAGGGTGACAGCATAGTTCAAAAGAAGGGCGTGCAAATGAGGTCCACGACCATGTGGGAAGGAGAGCGCAGAGTGTGAAGGTCTAAGGTCGGATGAGCTCAGTCACGTGCCAGCCGTGTCACCTCAAGGAGAAACTTACAAGCGCTTTGGTTTTCTCGTCTATTAAAAATAGATGCGCACCCCGCTCCCAGGCACCGCACGGGGCTGTTGTGACATGTGAAGGCGTCTACAACAGGCAGAGTGTCTTCCTTACAGTGACAGGGGGGTCTGGGAGGCCAGCGGGGTCGCCCCCTATCCTCTGATTGACAAGCTCAGGAAAAGAAGCAGAACCCCTGTTTTAACATAAAGGCTCTATAGACCTGCCAGTGTGGCTCAGAGGTTCGACTCCTGCCCAGGGCACGTGCCCGGGTTGTGGGCCTGGTCCCCAGTTCGGGGTGTGCAGGAGGCAGCCGATGGTTATTTCTCTTCCTTCCTCTCTCTCTAAACAATCAATAAAAACATTAAAAAAAATTAATAAAGGCTCCAGTAACATTCATAAACCAGAAAGAACATTTGCTAATCACTTCAAACACCCCTGCGAATCAGCTGCCGGATATATCCAACACACTTAAAAATTCAAATGCTGGTAGTCATTCCTTCTGAAAAGAGAAGTATCTTACCCTACAATGTGTTTAAGTCTTTAAAAGAAAAAAAAAACAACACACAAAAAAACCCTTTAAAATATTTTAGACCAACCCTCACCCAATACATTCTGTTCCTCTTTTTATTTTCAGTTTCCTTTTGAAAATCACTTTACCAGTGGAGGGTTTTTGCCACTGGTACAGTTTTTCAATTACCATTTGTATTTTGGCTTAGACCCTAAGGTAGAGGTTTTAAGATGAGGTAGCTCAAGTTTTGCTCAATGCCCTCCAAAGGACGTTTGCCTCTTGCTGCTTCTTTTGCATTCAGACCAATGCAATAAATCATGTTTGTAAATGACCTGTTTTCTTCTCCTTATGGTGCATACATACTAAAAAGTTTCTCTGCAAGGATCATTACTTTAAAACACCAATTTTCTTTGGTCAATTCTCTATAACTGTCCTAATGAATAGACCCAAATACTTAAAGAAAAGGGGGGAGGGGCGGCTAGACACTCATTCTACACGTGTTTCTATTGGGCCCTTTGCATGAAGAGTGAACTTCATTGGTTTATGAAACTCGTAGCTGCTGGGGAGGGCACAGTTAAGGAAGTACTTGCTACCGAGTTTCTGGCAGGGAAGAAATACAGGGGAGTGTGGACCTCCCAGAAAAGATGGCAATACTAACAAAATGGAAGATGCTTGCAGGCGAAGCATGTTAGAAATGCTCCCATCACCCAGCTCTTTCCTGAATCAAATGCCTGGTGGAGACGGTGGGCACATGGTCCTTGACATTCCCTCGACCAATCCTGGCTTGCCTACCAAATGTGTTTAATGGATTTCCAGACGTCAAAATATCATGGAGCTGCAGACAGGAGAAATGGGTACTTCTCAATCCCCATGAGCACCGGAGGGTTTGAGAACAGAAGGGTTCGAGATGATGAAACCACAATCAAGTTAAGGCTGTCCATTCGGCATCGGTCACTGTGCAGTGTGAGCCGGGCACCTCCTGGGGGACTCCGGGAGTACGGGCACAGCAGAGGGCAAGGCAGGCTCATAGGCACAGCCTCTGACCCCCGGAGCTCCAGGGGAGACCTCCAGGTAATGAAAGAAGTCCAACAGATTAAGTAGAAACACAGTAGAAACCCCAAGAAGGACACAGAGAGAGGGGAGTGAGAGAGAGGCCGCGTCTAGAGAGGGTGCTGGCCAGGTAGAGACGGGGGCAGCAGAGGCTATGTGCTGGAGGGGCGCCAGGGTGGCTGGGGCAAAGGCCAGGTGGTCTGAGATGGCAGAGGCCACATCAGCTGGGGGTGCGAAGGAAAGTCCCCCTGGATTTCATGCCGCTCACAAGGAGAAATTATTGAAGCAGAGGAATGGTTCTATCTGACTGACATATTTAAAAAAAAAAAATCACTCTGACCCGGCTGGTGTGGCTCAGTGGCTGAGCATCGACCCATGCACCAAGACGTCGCCGGTTTGATTCCTGATCAGGGCACGTGCCCAGGTTGTGGGCCTGATCCCCAGTGAGGGGCATGCAGGAGGCGGCCAATCAATGTTCTCTCTCATCGATGTTTCTATCTCTCTCCCCCTCTCCTTTCCTCTTTCTCTAAAAACCAATAAATAAAAAAAATAAAAAAAATCACTCTGGCTGCCAAACAGAGAGGGTGGGGTGGGGCAGGGAGGACTGTAATAGTTCCGGATGCTGGTACCTTGGACTGGGGTGTGGGCCGAGAGAAAAGAAGGCGACAGACCTGGACATATTTTGGAGGTTAGCCCAACAGGACTTGCTAACAGAGTGCAGTTTAGGAATGAAAGCACAGATGGAGGCTAATTCCTAGCAACAGAGCAATAGAGTTGAAGACTGAGTCACTCCAGGGCAGAAGCCTGGGGGAGAGGCTGGGCAGATCCCACAACCTCCTTTAGGCACAAAATTAGGTGTGAGGTTTGCAAGTTTGTTTGTTTTTAATTTTTTTTAAAAAAATTGTACTTTTCAATTATAGTTTGCATTCAACATTATTTTGTATTAGCTTCAAGTGTATGTTTTTCATTTAATGTCTTTATTCTTCCAGGACATAAGCAAAGATAAGTCAGATCACAAATGGCATTGGATGTTAGCATTGCCCCAAACGGTGTGTATTCTAGTTGTCCCCTTATAATGTCCAGGGACCTGGGACAATGTAAGTGGCAGACTCGACAAGCAGTGTATTTGGTGAGAGGTTCCGGTGTCTCTGCCTCTCTGACACCACATGGGGACCTTTGCCACAGAAAACTCTATGGCCTCAGACTGGGAAGGGACAGGTTGAGCTGGCCACAGACGTTCTCCAATTCTCAGTCACCCTCTCACTCTGACCCGTAAGGGTCCCCAAATTCTCCATCACCACCTTCCTCTGATCCCCAAAGGTCCCCCGATTCTTCATCACTACCTCTCTCTGACCTGAAGCCTTCCCGGGACTTCCCCTGCACCCCAGCCCTCTCCTCCCACGCCCAGGCAGGGAAGGTCTCTGGACAGAGATCCCCATAGAGATGGCGGTTTTTACAGATTAGAGACTCATTTGGGCACAGAGCGTGCCTCAGGCTTCGGGGAGGGTGAAGGCGAGCTGGGCCCCTCCAGCATCACCAGGTCGCCCCCTGGGAAAAGAGACTCGGGGCAGTCCCTCCCCGACACACGCACTTACACTCACACGGACATGCGCGCTCACACTCACACTCCATGCACACGCGTGCTCACACTCACACCTACTCCATACACGCTCGCGCTCACACTCACTCCGCGCACACGCGCGCTCACAAGGCCGCGCTCCAAGCTGAAGGATGGGGTTCGCGCCAAAGGCTAGGAGCCATGTAGACACCCTGGTATGTTTTCCTACTTTGCCTTCTTGCCTCTGCTCCCCCCCTTCCCCCCCCCGCCCCGCCCCGTCCCGCGCGGGGTTTCAGGGTTCCAATCCGGGGCCCCGCACGCGCCCCACCCCGCGGGCTGCCTGGGGTCTGAGCGGGGCCGTGAGGCTGGAGTCGCCCCGCGATCGCGGCCCCCGGGAGCGCCGGCCCGAGCTGCGGGGCCCAGGGCTCCACGCGGAGCGGCCGCACGCAGCAGCGGGACCCCGGGAGGGGCGCGGGGCGCCGGGCGCGGGACCCGCAGCGCTTACCTGAGACTCCGGCGGCGGCGGGGCCGGGCGTGCGGGCCGGGGCCTGGCAGCACTGCCCTCCGCCCCCTGCGCTCCGGCCGCGCGCGGGGGCCGGGCCGGGCCCAGACGCACTTCCTCAATCCTGCGGCCGCCGGCGGGAGGGGAGGGCGGGAGGCGGGCGGCGCGCAGGGCGCTGGGCGAGGACCGGCGCCGCGATCCCGAGCCCGCCCGCCTCAGTTTCCCTAGCCGGCAGCCGCAGAGGGTGAAATTCCCCGCTCCTGCCGGGGAGATGACAGCCCACCGGCCGTTCTAGCGCACTGCCCCCCACCCCACCCCAAGTTTGGGCGCCCTGCCCAGGGACGTGGGGCAGGCGCGGCGGTCCGATGGGCCGGTTCTGGGCGGCCCAGCTCTGCCCCTCTGCTCTGCTCCCCAGCAGAACCCGCGGTTCCCCTCGGACGTGAGTGTCTGTTGGCCGCATACGCGCAGTAAATATGAAAAGGGCAGGAAATACTGACATGTGCACAGCTCTTTGTAGGGAGTACAGGAATATTTATTTTAAAACTTTATTATTTGCAAGCTGCGCCCCTTCCACTACACGAATTTACTCATTTAATTGTGGGTGTCATTATTTGGTGGATTATTTAAAATTGGGGTTCTCTGGTGGGGGTGGGGGGAGTGTAGATAAAACCTGATGGGACGTTGGGAATTTATTATGTTTCAACCTAATATAAGTATGTTCATCACACCATGAGGCCATTATCCAGACGCGGATCACAAAGACGCACGTTCACCCTGCAGGCAGGCGTCAGATTCGGCTCCAAGGGCCCACGGGAGAAAGAGAAGCTTGCTCGGAAAAGTGGTGGTTCTCCACCCACGCAGCCCCCGCACTCGAGGCCCCTGGCTTGCAGTGTTATGACCGGGACCTTCCCAAGATTTAGCGCAAGGCACAGAGACCAATCACCACCACCTTCACTGTCACTTCACAAACGCCAGGCAGATGCGGAGCCCCCACGCGACCTCGCACGCACGCCCCGCTTGGAGCGGCTCCCTGGCGGGCGAGGGAACCACGGGGCAGCTTTGCTTTGCTCCCAAGAGGCTGCCCTTCCAGAAGGAGGGGGCGTTTTTGCAATCCTGTCCTCACCACTGAGGTCCTAATTCCCGCATGCAATAAAACGGCAGTACGAGTGCTGCAGACGAGTCCGTAATAATTTGCAGGGCGTGGCGCCCACAGTGCTGAGTGGGCCCCGCCACCCCGGTGCTGCGCCTTCAGGGAGCGCGGCTGCGCCATCTAGCGGCGCTATGAGGAAGCGCACGCCCAGTGCTGGGGCGGACAGGGGCGGGCAACTCAATTTCTCTTGTAAATAAGCTTGGAAATAGGTTAGGAATGTCCCCAACGTAGAAAACAGCCGGGACACCCCACACACAAGTGGACTCTTTTGAGTTAGTTGTACCCCAGCACTTAACTCTCCATAAGCATGAGTTAGTCACAGGTTTGCCTGGGAAGGTTGTCACAGGTCAGTTTCTTCATCTTGAGCCCTGCTGACCCATGGTCCTCTAACTTTCCCTCACATTCCCCCTTGGACACTGTTTTCAGCGTCCCTCAGTATCCACCTTCAACCTCAGGTTAGCTACATGTCAGGAGCAAGGACATTAACAGGGCTTCGCCCACCATCAGGAGAAACTAGGGCGTTCCAAAGGGTCTTCTTTCAGAGACTGTGCCCCCCTACCCCAGGCACCCAGGTGTACGTATGCATACATACGTGCACACTCACACACAACAGGCAATCTGGGTCCCCAGAATCATTCCCTTCCGAGAGTCATGCTTTGGTGCAGGAACAGGTCATTTCCTGAGAATTTTCTGTTCCCATTTAGCATGAGAACATGGGAGGGGTCTGAACACATGAAGGCATCCATGTGTTCTCCTTGCAAGGGATCTGATTCAAGCATCCCTTAAATTCTCTCTTAAAGGGTGTGCGTCGTCACTGCATGGCCCAAGCGATCTAGACCTTCAAAGTCAAATCCCAGGCTGTGCATGGTGGACCTACCCAAGTACAGGGAATGTTCATGGCCCAACCTCACTGTCGGCTGGACACTTGGTGATTGAGGCTTTTTGGTTTGGAGCCTCAGAAACTTATGGTAAGTTAAACCCAAACACCTAAATCCTCATGGAGAAAAGGGGACAGAAAGTGGAAACCTGTGCACACCCTAAATCCTCCTGCAGGATCCCCTCCCCCATTGCCACGCTCACATCGTTATCAATTAATGGTAAAGAGAGACCCAGGCAGCTTCCGTGTCGTCTGAGAATGCAGAACCTCTGCGGCTCAACCCCCAAAACCTGGGACTGGATTTCAACACTCAGGCTAAATTCAGTCAGGCAACTAATTTTTTTTCTTAAGTTATTGGTTCTGCTTTATCATAAGCCATTTTTATATAGAAGGTCTAAGAAAGAGAAAGGTCAGCCCTAGGATTAAAATGGATGTGGTCCTCAAGCGAAAAGAAGACAGCATTTCACAAATATCCAACTTTATTCTGTTGATGCTGCTTTGTTGACGCTGGAGTCAGGATTCCCAGCCAATAGAGTTTTTTAAACCACAGCACGGGAGTCAACCTCCAGAGAACTGAAATCTAATCCTATATAGATTTCCATTTCTAAATACAGTATATTACAGAAGGTTAAATATACCACCTCTGTTTACTTACAACTAGAAAAAGATACATTAACTATATCCATTATAAATAATGTACCATTTCATATTAAAGGCATTATTGTACAATGAAAGAATAAGAACCTTCTAATGTATTCCTATCAAGGTTAGTGCCTATAATTACTTAAGATAAAATCCTGAAAATTCAGTGTATGAGTTAAATCCTGATTCAACAAGTTACTGACAGTGTAAGTGATTAAGTGGTGCTGAAGAGACAGTGAATGGTGCATTGCATATTTCTTGTAAGAACAATGACCCCGTTTCATATATGACTTGCTTTCGCCATACACTGGTTTGGACATAGACCTTCATTTTATTTTTGCCCCCCCCAATTTAATTCTCAAACATAATTTAATTCTCAAACATAAGCACCATCAGAAAAGTACTAGTTATAACAAAGCATCTGTTTTTGATTCTCAAAAGGACCCAGTTTAAGTTTTTTTTTTTTTTCTTAAAGCGATATGGGAACACGTTCTGTTCTCCAGTTGAAACTTGTAATTGTACGAAGAGGAAATGAAAACCTCACAACCTGTTTAGTGCAGCAACCAGGACACTGTAGGAGGAGACCCAGTTCCTCCGTGGAGTTTGGGTGTTATTTGATGATTAATCGTGAATTTTGATATCAAGACAGTCCTCAGACGCAACCCGGGCTGTATTCTAACAGCAGCCTTTCCAGCTGTGTGTTCTACTCGTCTGAATTAGAGAAAAGGGAGAACACACAGGCTCATCAACCACGAATCCAAGGGGCAGAAACGCAGTTCTGTCAACGCGTGCAGGGTGGCTCTGGTGTGGGAAGTGCAGGACTTAATTTTACCCTTGGATTCGCTCTGCCGTGAACGTCACAGCCTTAAGGGAGACTGTGACAGCGTTTCTGATAGGCTCTCTGGGCTGGTGATTCGGACATATTCCGAAGGCAGTACTGATTTTAAGCTGAGTCCCCAGGTCAGTGTCAAGGTGGAGTCCCTGAAGACCCCTACCCGTTCCCCCCCAAGACCTGCAGTACCCTCCAAGTCCTCGCCTCCCCAGAGTGCCCACACTGGATCCTTGCAATTCTGTGTGTTTGTAAACTGAGTGCTCTTCCTTTTCAGCTAAGCAGTAAGAGGGGCTTGCTTGTTCTGCGGGTGGGTAACCCAGAGGGACCCACAGGTACAAGGCCGAATTTTCTAGAGCATACGGGGAGGTTTCTCCAAATTCTTACTGGAGTAGTGTCAGAAAAGCACTTTTAAGTGACCGCTGGAAACTTCAAACACCACTTCCTGTCGGCAGTGCGCTCGGCCTCCTCACTGTCCCAAGGAACCTGGCTGGAAAGGGAAGCTGGAAATGCCCGAGAGCGCCACCCCCAGGCAGAACTGCACTGTCACCCCCAACATACTGGTCAATAACAGAGGAGCGCGAGAGGAAAATAAAAATCGTCCCCATGCAGCGGATGTGGGGTCTCCAGAAGAAAGTGGGCCAGGAAGGTCAGAAGTGTCGTTTTTTTTTCTCCCGCAGGTGTGATCGGCCACATTCAGGTGTCAGGGGAAGAGCCCGCCTTGCGCTCAGGGGAGCTTGTCGTCCAGTTTGATGGTGATGGTTTTCACTTCGGTGTATTCAGCCAGCGCATACTCGCCTCTGTGGTCACAGAAGAGAGGAACATGGAAAGGGGGCTTGTCACTTAGCTGTTCCAGGGAAGCGGGGCAGTTTGGGATTTACGCAGAGCATCAAAGATGCGATGACATCACAGCGTAAGAGCCAGGATTGTACCGCCATTAGTAAGTTTACGTAACGGGGCGCGCAACTTAAGTTTAAATAGTGACGCTTTTGTGCGTGATGCTTTTGAAATATCCAAGACTAGGTGGTGCTTTTAGAGAATCAAGGGAATAAAAAAAAAAAAAAAAAAGGCAAATTCTTGGATGGAGAGTACAGAGCCAGAAGAGAGGGTCTTCATGGTTGAATGAGGAGGGGGAACAGGGGAAGAGGCATTACTTTGGGTTTATGACTTTTACTTATTATTATTATTATTATTTAAGGTTTTTAAAATCGATTTAAAAAAATCCTTCCATTTTCTTCAGATGGGGGTGAGGGGGAGAGGAGGAGACAGAGAGAAAGAGAGAGAAACATCGATGTGAGAGAGACACATCGATTGGTTGCCTCCCGCACGACTTCAAACAGGGCCGAGGACCAAACTGCAACTGAGGTACGTGCCCTTGACTGGAATCAAACCCTTGACTCTTCGGTCCACGGGCCGACACTCTAACCGCTAAGCCAAACCAGCCAGGGCTAAAAATGGATTTTTAGAGAGAGAAGAAGGGAGAGGGAGAGAGAGAGAGAAACATCGATGTGAGAGCAAAACACTGATCAGCTGCCCCCAGCAACCCAGGTATGCGCCCTGACTGGGAATGGAACCGGCGACCTTTCTTTGCGCAGGATGACGCCCAAGCAACTGAGCCACACCGGCCAGGGCTGGGTTTACGACTTGTAGCTGAAGACACAGAAGAGGCAGAGGCCCCGGAGGGGTGTGGGCAGAGGATCCATGAGGGCCAGGGACATGGAGCCTGGAGCGACCTCGGAGCTCACAGCTGGTTTCCAGCTGTGAGAAGTGAGTCCAGGGGAGGAGATGTCAGCACGGACTGGATGAAAGAGTGACCACAGCCTGTGAGCGAGCATCTTTGATGGATGTCATTGCTTTCAGTCTGGCACAGCCTGGGCGGCCCTTTCCGGGCACCATGGCCACCTGCAGGGCCGAACTAACAGGCAGCTTCGGATGCCTCTGCAGCATCGCTCTGCTGTTGCGTCAATAAACACGCGTCCTTGTTTATGAAAAGAGGTGGGAGCAGAGCTGGTCACTGGAGGCTCTGCACCTGGAAAGACTTGAGGCAGAATTTGATCTCATCCCTCAGCTCTGTGCTTCCCAAAGTGTGGTCCCTAGACCAGCAGCAACAGCTTCACCTCAAAACCGGCTCAAAACGCAGCTCCTCAGGCCTCCCCCAGATCAACCGCGGGAGACAGAATGACGCCCCCACCTAAGGCGTCCATGTCCTCGTTCTATGGACCTGTGAATAGGTTCAGCTGCATGGCAAAGGGGAGTTAAGATGCAGGTGCAATTCAAGTCTCTGATTAGCTGCCCTTGAAATAGAGGATTAGCATGGATTATGTGGGTGGGTCCCTGGTCATCGCAAAGATTCTTGGAAGGAGGAGAGGGAGGCGGAAGAAGAGAGTCGAGGGAAACGAGATGGGAGAAGCAGGTTCAGAGCGATGCGACGTTGCGGGTTTTGAAGATGCAGGAAGGGGCCACCAGCCAAGGAACGTGGGCAGCCTCCAGACGCCGGAAGAGGCAAGGGAACCTGAAAGGAAGGTAACCCTGCAGATACCTCGATTTTTGCTCATTGAGACGTCCAAGGTTTTTAGCCTATAGAACTGTAGCGTGACAAATGTGTGTTGTTTAAGCCACTGACCATGCCCATGTGTCATAGCAGCAACAGAAAACCAATACACTTACTGCCTCTAGCGGTGGGGCCAGGGTCTGTGTTCGGACAAGCCAGGGGATGTGACTCAGTTCCAGATGGGAACCACTGGCTTCGATCTAGGTAGCTTAGGCAAGTCCTTTGTCTTCCCTGAGCCTCGATTATGTCATCTGTGAAATGGGAAGGCCACTACTTCCTTGTAGTTATGATGAGTAGAGATAATTTGTGCAAAGCACCTACTATGTGCTACAGAAAAAGTAAATGGTAGAAAGTAATCTTACTATTTTATGTGACTATGTCACTGAGATTCTTTTATTTCCTAAAACAAATACTCCAAAAGCCCATGATAATGGGTGAATTGTTTTGTAATCTTTCTTTCTTTCTTTTTTATCCTCACCCAAGGACATTTTTGCATTTATCTTCAGATAGAACTGGAAGGAGAAAGGGAGGAAGAGAGAGAGAGAAACATCGACGTGAGAGAGACACATCTATGGTTGCCACCCACACGACCCCAGTCGGGGCCAGGGACAAACTGCAACTGAAGTACGTGCCCTTAGCAGGAACCGAACCCAGGACTCTCCAGTCCGTGGGCCACGCTCTAACCACTGAGCAAAACCAGCCAGGGCTGTTTTGTAATCTTTTCGAAACATAACACAATATATAAAAACAATATACAGAATGTTAAATTCAACTTTTGTAGAGCAGAAACTCCATCAAAAGCCCCCAAGACAAATGACAAACTAGAAAAAAAATAATACTTACAACCCTGTGTGAAAAAGAGTGCTGTTTTCCTTAATATACAAAGAGCTCTTACAAACCAATAAAAAAACACCCACAAAACAAACAAATGGAAAAATCAACAAAGGCCACAAACAGGCAGTTCACAGAAGAAGAAATACAGATGACTAATAAGTGTGAAAAAGGTATTCAACCCCCTCCCAATGAAAGAAATGCAGACTAAAAGAATGGGGAGTCCCCTTTTCATGTGTCCGATCACCCAGTTTTAGGACACAATCTCCCGTATGTGGATCAAGGTTCATGCACAAGGAAAAATGTCAGCGTGATCTATAATAGCAAAACCCCTTGGGAATGACAGAAAAGTCCATCATAGAAGACCACCAATAAAAAGAACAGGACACCCAAAACTCACCCCTAAGAGCAAAAAGCAGTCTGCTCCCATTACATTTGAAAACAGAAAAGAATGCACATGTTTGCATCTATGTGCCTGGAAAATGCACAGTAACCTTTCAAAGTCAGCAGTGAGCATCCAGGGTGGCATCGTAGGTGTTCAAAAATGGTTAATGGGCTTCTCAGCTTAGTAAAGATAAGCAAACGAAGTCATGAAATCGCTTGGTTGAACTAGCACGCAATAAGAAGTCCAGTATTAAATCGTTCCTGTAAAATGAGGTGCCCGGGTCACCCCATTCTATTCCTATAGTCAAGGCCCAAGTTCAAGTTTCTGCCGCTCTTATTTGACCCACTATGGCATCTCCTAACTGGTTCTCACCCCGTCAGGACCACCTTCATGCTCACGACCATCTATGACTCTAGCAAGAATGTCGGAGGGGCCGTTACTGATGACCTGGCGCATCAAAGGTGCTCAATAAACATCAGCCAAGTGAATGAATGAACCAAAGAACAAAATTAATAACTCATCAGTGGCTACCTCTACCAAACGGGATCCAAGGTTAGAGAAGGAGGCCTTGACTTTGCACATATCTCTACGGTGTGGGGTTTTTTTTTTTTGGTTACTGTATTACTTTTATTGCAAAGCAAAACAAAGAACTAAGAAAAGCGCCCGGAAGGAAGAGAAATTGCAGGCTTCTTCTGAAGCCCAGCACAGAAGCTGGTCCCGGAGGGCCCGTGGGTGGGCGGCTCATTGCCAGCCCAGCCCGGGGGCCGGCGGGATGGGGAAATCCATGGAATCCACCGCACGGGGTTCCAGCAAAAAAAGGGGAACTTATTGCAACATGAAGACATCCATTAGAGACAACGGAACATGGAAATCAGTTTTCATCAGTTTCCAGGCTCCTGGTGAATTATGTTAAAGTACTTTATCAAAAGCCTTGGGAAACTATATGCCAAGGGTCAAAAAAAACACACACAAGACATTCAAAAAAGTCCCGATTGTGGCACATCAACAGAATAAGACGTGGACCGTCCAGAGAAGACGCACCCGGCCCTGCTCCACGCCGGGCAGGGGGTGCTAAGAATTTGGAAGCATTGTCAGGGGGTAGGAAGAGAGACAGAGGGGACGCAGGTAAGGACAGTCAGTGACAGTCGGGGTGAGTCGCACTGGGAGTCAGGTGGGTCCCACATGCCGTGCCTGAAGCTTTGACATCCAGAGACATCTGCTTTGGGGACAGAAATTCTTGCTGTGGGAGGGCGGTGCTGCGTGTCCGGGACTGTGCAGGTGCTGGGTCCCCCAGCTGCCACAGCCAATCAGAGACCAGTGGCCACATTTGCACAAAAAGGGACCAGAAAGGAGTCCATGGTGGGTCTGATGGAACCCAGGGCCAGCAGGAGGCGCCACAGGCTCCTATCAGAGCCGCCCGTGGTCTGACGGCCAGAGCCCGACCTGGGAGAGAGCCTGTCTCCTTGCCAAGGGCCAGGGGTGTGTGTAACTATGGCCTACATGTGGCGAAAGGGCAGTTTTGCCCAAGTCCTCACCCAGTGAGGATCTACTGAATGTCCCCACATGTGACAGGTGCTTTGGAGACACCTGAGCCCAGCTGGAGGTTGGTCCTGGGGCCTGAAGGAGCATGAATACGAGGCGGGGGAAGGACAGGAGGGAGGGGATCCAGCCCAGCCCCCAGGGAGAGGACCCAGCCTGACGCAGGCAGACGAGCCCACGCCACACCCTGCGAGTCTAGCGTGAGGGACAGAACACTCACAGTTCTCTGCCGTTTCCCGACATTTTAAAGCCACCGAACGGAGCCTGTGCGTAGATGGCATTGTAGCAGTTGATCCTGGAGAGAGAAGGAGACGCTCGTGGTTACCTGGGGGGGACCCACCTGGATCCCTAGCAGTGCGGGCTCGAGGCGCTCGAGGTGTCAGAGTGACTTTTGTCCCCGTTCTGATCAGGGAAACGGTGTGCTTTCAACTCCGCCTTCTCGTCTTCCCAGCAGACACTGACATTGGGGTGTTCTTAGGGTCAAGCTTTCCCTTGAGAGGCAGGGGACAAGGAAGGAAAGGGAGCTACGAAGCAGAGGGTCACACTCACTTTGGAACGGGACACCCTCACTCCAAAGTTCTGCCGCTTCTCACCTGCAGGATTCGGGGCTCATCCTCAGCCCCCCGAGCCCCAGTCCTCCTCTATCATCCACCAGTCTCTTTAACACGAGGCTGGTGGATCTGTAGAATTCCTGGTGAAGCGGGGAATTTCAAGCATACTTTTCTCAGGAGCATGGACTGCTTTTATTTATTTTTCCTCACCAAGGATATATTTTTTCCATCGATTTTTTTTAGAGAGTGTGGAAGGGAGGGAGGGAGTGGGAGAGAGAAACATTGATGTGAGAGAGAGAGAGACATCGATTGGTTGCCTCCCGCACGCCCCCTGACTGGGGCTGGGGATCCAACCTGCAACCAAGGTATGTGCCCTTGACCAGGAATCGAACCCATGACCCGACACTAACCACTGAGCAACACTGGCCAGGGCTGCATGAACTGCATTTAGAATCAGAATACAGCCCTGGCCGGTTTGGCTCAGCAGTTAGAGCATCAGCCTGAGGACCAGAGAGACCTGGGTTCAATTCCCGCTAAGGGCATGTACCTTGGTTGCAGTTCGTCCCCGGCCCCGGTTGGGGTTCAGTGGGTGGCAACCAGTCGATGTGTCTCTCTCACATCAGTGTTTCTCTCTCTCTCTTCCTCCCTCTCTCCCTCCCGCTCTATCTGAAGATGAATGCAAAAATGTCAAATGAGGATAAAAAAACAAAAAAAAATAATAGCATCAGAATACAAAATAAAATCAGAAGGAGGGAAGTCTGAGGGGCAGCAACACAGCAGCCAAGATCACAGGCACTTGTGCTGGACGACCAGCTCTGAGCCCCCCGCTGCCACGGGCTGGCTGTGTGACCCTAGGCAGCTCACCCCACCTCTCTGTGTCTCCACTTCCTCGCGCATAAAATGGAGACAATGATGGTGCCAGTCTCAGATGGCGGTCTCGGGGACCCAGCGGAGCAGAGACAGTGCTTGCCCAGAGCATCTGACCAGGAACTCTCTCTCGGCTAGTAGGTGACTCATGAAGCAGGCAAGCCAGTCGCTCAGGACAACCGGACACGGGCCCACTCACCAGACCGTGCCGGACTCGAGGGCGGAGGCCAGCTTCAGGGCTTTGTCCAGGTTTCTCGTGAACACGGCGGCTGTGAGCCCGTATTCCAGGCTGTTGGCTCTTTTGATCACTTCTTCGGTAGTTTTGAACTTCAGTATCGGCTGCACCGGCCCAAAAATCTATAATTGAACGCAAGACGGCAGTGAGAGGTACTGTCCAGTAGGACTCGTGTGTCCTGATCGGGCATCTCCTTGTTGGGAGCCTTTCCTGACACCCTACGTGCTCACGTGCAGCAGGTAGGGGCGAGACGGCTTCCCTGGGGACCCCAGGAGAGAGACGACCCCCCAGACAGAAACATGCTCCCCTCACAAGACAGCTGGGGTCACCGAGCCCCAGGAGGACCCGTGGGACAGACCCAGTGTCCTCCCCCAGCTCAGCACCAGCCCCGTGGGCTGTGGCTTTCCCTGCGCCCCCGTACCTCCTCTTTGGCAATTCGCATGGTGTCGGTAACATCCGAGAAGACGGTGGGTTTGATGAAGAGCCCCCTGTCTTCCATGGCCGAGCCCCCGCATTCCAGCTTGGCGCCCTCCTTCTTCCCGCTCTCGATCAGATCGAGGATCTTGTCGAACTGGTGTTGGTCAATCTGCAGAACAGCAGAAGGAGGGGGCGGCTGCCGCCTGACGTGCGTCCGACGGCCTCCCGGGCTCAGCTGTCTGGCCCCTGAATGTTCTTGCCGAGTCACAGTTCAGGGAACACGTGCCTGGACGTACAAACCCAGGCTCTTTGGAGCAGGACAGAGCTCGGGAGACACGCTTGGCTTATCTGGGTATATTCATACGTCGGACCCTCCACGCTGTTGGGCAAATCCACGGTGAAACAAGACCTGAAGCAGCATTCTTCACTCTCCTATCTTCCCATCCTGCTAGGGTTGCTGAATTTAGCAAATAAAACTACAGGACACCCAGTTACCTTTGAATTTCTGATACAAGAGGAATGGGTTTTCCAGTAGAGGCATCTCCCCCACAATCTCTGGGAGATAGGTTAAACATGTATTCACTCTTTTTTCTTTACCCTCACCAGAGGACACTTTTGCTTTTATCTTCAGATAGAGTGGGAGGGAAAAGGGGAGGGGGGAGAGAGAGAGAGAGAGAAACATCGATGTGAGAGAGACACATTGAGTGGTTGCCACTCGCATGACCCCAGCTGGGGCTGGAGACGAACTGCAACTGAGGTACGTGCCGTTAGCGGAACTGAACCCGGGACTCTCTGGTCCACGGGCCAACACTCTAACCGCTGAGCCAAACCGGCCAGGGCTGTATTCACTCTTATTTTATTTTATTTTTTTATCCTCACTCGAGGACATTTTTCCGTTTTTTATTCAGAAAGAGTGGGAGGGAGCGAGAGGAAGAGAGAGAGAGAGAGAGAGAGAGAAACATCGACGTGAAAGGGACACATCGAGTGGCTGCCACCCGCACGACCAACCAGGGCCGGGGACAAACTGCAACCAAGGTACGTGCCCTTAGCGGGAACTGAACCCGGGTCTCTCTGGACTTCAGGCCGACGCTCTAACCGCTGAGCCAAACCGGCCAGGGCTGTATTCACTCTTTATTTGAACTTCAGATCTAAGTGGGTGACAAATACTTCGTCTGGCAACGCTGTGCCCTGCTCACAGGGCACCATGGGTCAGGGTAACAGTTAGCGGGATTCCCTATAGAAGTGAGAATGAAAGCCGATGACCCTCCTCAGTCTCCTGGAAACAGACTGTGGGGCTCACGGGGAAGCGGGGGGTGAGGGGCTGCTCCTTGGTGGGAGGGAGCCAGCTCATCAGAAAGGCGCCACCATCTGACACCTGGTGGGGCCAGTGTGCCTTATACCACCAGCCCAACACCCAGCTTGTAGGCACGGTACCCAACCAGCTGCCAAAGAGCACCCCTTTGGGAGATTGTCTCAAGGTGGAAAATGCTCGGTCCTTTTCCCCTGAGTCCATGCGAGGCCTGTTCTTGACCATGAACCTGCTGCTGGCTACCTCCTTTTTGGGAGAGACAGAGCTTTGATAGGTTTGCTAGAGCTGAGATGTTCAGAGAGAAAATTTGGTTGCATTTAAACAACTTTAAGGAAAAAATAAGCAAACCCAACGACGCCTTTGGAGCACTGTCTGTCCCTGAGGAACAAGTTGGCTTCATCAGAAGGGATGGACATAAACCGTACATGTCACCTGACCGGTCCTCCCCTGAAGTGTGGGTCACGTGTTAAAACACCAGGTTGGATCCCTACCTCACACCTTATACCTGGATAAACTCCAAGCAGACCAAAGACTTAAAAATAAAAGCATCAACGGTTCCCAAGCCTCTCACATGGGAGACTGCTTTCGTCAGCTTGGAGAGCTGATGGCCTTTTCATGACTCAAAATCCAGAACCCCCTCCCCAAATACTGATACATTTGAGTATGTAAGAAAAAAGCAACATCGTCATGTCCTGGCCGGTTTGGCTCAGCTGTTAGAACATCGGCCTGAAGACTGAAGGGTCATGGGTTCAGTTCCCTGTCAAGGGCACGTACCTGGGTTGCAGGTTCAATCCCCAGCCCTGGTCAAGGTTGTGTGGGAAGCAACCAGTCGATGTGTCTGTCTCACATCCATGTTTCTCTCTCCCCCTCTCTCCCTCCCTTCCACTTTATCTTAAAAATTAATGAAAAAAATGTCCTTGGGTGAGGATTAACACCAAAAAGGCAACAATATCACAAGCAAAGTCAAAGGGCAACACGAACTGGAAAAAATCGACGCTGTATCGTAGGAGCAGAGCCAATCTCTCTCGTACGTGACGCGATCTTAGAAGGAAGAAGAAAATACCACCAGGCACACGCCCAGCGATAAAAAGGAAATGTAAAGGCTTCTGAACACACGATCAGAGAGATGTTCTACCTCATTCACTGAAAGAGATCCGTGCATATTTAAGCCAAACGAGATGCCATCTTTAACTATCAGATGGGCCCAACCCCAAATCCTGTTGGTGAGGCTGGGGAGATAGGCAAGCTCACACAAGGCTCGGGAGGCACTTTGGCAATGCCTGCAGATGTGATGAATGTGCCCTCGCTGGGCAGCCCTGGCACGTGTGTGGGAAGACATTCTTGGGGGCACTGTGCGGCACACCCACAGGGTCATCAGAAGGTGTTGCTTGGATTCTGGGGGTTCACACTGCAGCATTCTAGGTACGTCTGTAAAAGGGCCAGGCGGGTTCCCAGGGACTGGCATAAAAACTGAGGCGCGGTAGGTTGGCACAGGCACCTCTGAGCAGAGACAGGATCGGAACACATAGTCATGCTTGTATACACACACAGACAATATAGAGGGATATTGAGAAACTGAGAACATGGGCTCCCAAGGGGGGAAGGGTGAGAACCAGGCCTAGGAATGGCCTTTACATGTGTTTGGGGTTTTGACTCATATATATATACGTTCCCACTGAAAAAAGTAATTCAAGCATCTGCCACAACCGTGACTCAAGGTTTTCTCAACTTCCCTCTGGGTCAGCGGAGTCTTGCGTTAAAAGTGGCCGTTGTGCCCTGGCTGGGTGGCTCCGTGGGTTGGAGCGTCGTCCCATACACTGAAAGGTTACGGGTTTGATTCCCCATCAGGGCACACATCTAGGTAGCGGGTTCGATCTCCAGCCGGGGTGTGTATGGGAGGCAACTGATTGATGTTTCTCTCATCTTTATTCTCTCTTTCTCTTCCCTCTCTTCTCTCTAAAATCAATAAAAAACACAACCTCAGGTGAGGAGTAAAAAAAGAGAGAGAGAGACAGCTTTACTCCCTTACTCTAGTATTAAAAGGAATCAACATCGGCTTTCCCTTCTAAAAAGAAAAAAAAAAAGTCGTAGGTGTGACTCTCGCCTCCTCCTAAGAGGCTTTTCCAGCGTCATCGAAAGACAGGTCTGGGTGGCCCTGGGTCGCCATGGCAACCCTACACATCCAGACTCGGCTGTCCCTGGCGAGTCCATGCGAACACATTGTTTAAATCTAATGGCCCTCCACGAGGTGTCAGCCAGGGCCTCGCTGTGCAGGAAGGCCAGCCTGCGGAAGTGGACACAGCCAGGCACAGCACCAGAGACCGAGAAATACGCCCCGAAGGACGGTCAAAGCCGCACTCGGCCCCGGGGGAGGCCCCCGGATGGGCCCCGCCAGGTGGCCTGCGTGATGTCTTCCAGCAACTGGTTTGTCTGCAGAGAACACGGATCTCGGTCAGAGACCGAACTATTTAGACAGCTGTAAGTCCTCCCAGAGTGAAATCTTATTACTGTAGAAGAAAAAGCACTTTGGGAGGGGAGAAAAAAAAAATCCAACAGCATCCTAAAATAATACGCCGAGTGAGCTTTCTGAAAAGACTCAGCGGGGGCCCCAAACACCCTGATGAAATCAACACCATTCTGCTGGGGTCTGCATCTGACTCCCCACGTCAAGCCTGGAGCTTGGAAAGAGACTTCGGGATAATGAGGGGAAAAAGTGCTTCTTTTAGTGCAGGGTCAGACCACATACCCATGGACTCTGGATTGATCTAAAATCACAGCGGATTCGATCATGACTTTCGGACGTGTTTGTATTCAGATCTGAAACCCAACCACGGCTGCTAGACAACCTCTGTGTCACCGGCTGGGAGGGGATTGTTGGCTACACGCAGGGACACTTCTCTCCACCAGGGTCACGTGGCTTCAGAGCCGCGGAGCATGTGGGCGGGGCACAGCGAGGGCGGCACTGTGGCCAGAGCATCCCCAGGTCACGCACGACCTGGCCGCGTGGCCTCAGTTGTGCATGGCCAGTCACCGCTGCCCGGACCAGGGAGCTGCCTTTCCATGCTCCCTGCTTCAGAAAAGAAAAACGTATTCGGTGCCTTGAAACTTTGCAAAACAGTCCTCGATTACGCCCATTTTCCAGGCGAGGAAACTGAGGTTTGGAAGGAGCTGGCGACTTTCAGAAGGTCACAGAGCCACGTTGGTGCCGAGATCCGCAGCCTCCCATGTAAACACACGGTGCCCACACGGTGCCCACACGGTGGGTAAGCGGCATCTGGGTGAGTCCTGACACGCGATGGGAAACTTCATGGCTGGGGCAGGACTCTGGCTACAAGCAGAGTGGTTGTAGCCCAGCCCCATTTCAGTAACGCCTGGGCTGGTCAGGCTGCTCTCTGAAGTATTTACCCGTGGGCTGGACTACGTAATTCGGAAGAAAGTGATACAGGACATGCCCTTTTAAAGAGCTTATGAAACCTTGTGGTTATGATTGTTTTCATCCTGTCGCTGGCTTCTCAAACCAGGCCCACACCCCGCGAGCTCTGCACTGGGAGGTGTGGTTTCGGATGGTCACCTTGCCCTGTAACGCATCTGGGTTTGCGGGCACCTGGGTTGGACCACCAGCTCCGGGCACTGCCCCTGCCTGTCTTCGGCTGCCAGGGTTACAAACCCTCTCCTGCAGGGGGACCTGCCAGGTGAGACAGGCTGTCTCTGAGCCTCTGCTGGGCACCCTGGCCAGAGGGGCAGCATGGCCTTATGGTCAGGGACCGCCTCCTTCCTGGCGAGGCCCCGAGTCTGGCACAATTTGCTGCAGAAATCAAAGCCTCTGTGTGTCTAGCCCGTTTCCAAACCGCACTGAGAGCGGATGGATTGGACTGGTGGTCAGCGTGTTAGCAAAAGCCTTGAGCGCAAGAAGGCAGGGCAGCCCCCAGGCTTCGGAGGGACCCTGCCATCCCTGGGAAGGAAGCCCAGGCCGGGGTCAGAGGGTCCCTCACGTGCACCCCGGGCTCCCACGCCTCAGGAGGTTACCTGGGGCCCCTGCTCCGTCCTGGCATCGAAGGGGTCTCCGACGGGCCGCTTCTGCGCGTACTCCACGCTCCTCCTGACAAACTCAGCGTAGACTTGCTCCTCCACAAACACCCTGGAGGCGGCCGTGCAGCACTGGCCCTGGTTGAAGAACACTCCCTGATGGGCACACTCCACTGCCAAGTCCACTGCAGGGAGGCGGGCGGGCGGGGGCAGAGGAAGCGATTAAGTCGTTAGGGTAGGACGGGCCACAGCTGCGACCGTAATTGCCCACACAAGCAAACAGCCCTGGGACTGCAGACATGACTTTCGCGCTCAGCACTTTCCAAACAGGGGGCGGGCAGCAGGACTCTGGGTCCACTGCGTTCGGAGTCGAAGAGGTCCCGACTGCAGGACTTCTCAGTGTGTTGACCATGCCAAGAGGCACAGGGACGTGTCTCAGTGGTCACTTCCCTCGCTCAGGGACGCCCTCCCTCCCTTCCTGGAGGACGGATGTCCTTTAGAAGAACCTTTGCTAAGCACTGATGTGGGTCAGCTGGCAAGGGTTTTTACGGGAGCCCAGATTTTCCAGCTTGTGCGACAGAAGGGTCTTATTAAGTAATATAACACCACGTGCGGCTCCGGAGAGTTAAAAAAGAGAGAGAACGCCCCGCTTCTGCCTGACACCGTCTGAGTCTGAACTGCAGAGTCGGCATGGGGTTAAAACCAGGTACTGCGACCGAGCTAGAGGGTGCTTAGTAAGGACGATCTTTGGGGGCCTGCTTAATGGATTCGAATGATAAGTGGGGTGTCGTTGACATTCAGAGGGGTTTCTAGGGCTCCACTTGTTTTGCATCACCACCCCCCTCCCGCCAAACACACTGTGCGCACACTGTTTGCTTAAGCAATGCAGTTTTTCTGGGCACCGAGTAAAAGCAAGACCTTCTGGGCGTGGGCAGGTGATCCCCGGCAGCCAGCGTTGCTTGTGGGGTAACTCTGAGGAAGGCTGCCCTTGGTTTTGAGAACCAGGCCGTTGCTAACTGGCTTCTGTTTAAGTCGCTGCGGTAGCAGGACAGCATAATACGGTTCGTGCCCCTCCCTGTGTCTGCCGCTTTTCATGCCAACTGAAAAATGCCCTTCCTCCCAGCGGGGACCGGGTGAGGGTTGCAGTGGCCGAGAACGGAGGCATGTTATCGCTGATATCATGCCTGAGATGCCAGTGACATCAGGATGTAATTCTGTGGCCCGGCACTGCCCACGGGAGTTGGAGATGACTCTGTAGGGTGTTTCTGACCCTCGTCCGACCAACCCTCAAACAGAAGGAGTCTTGTGTTTTCGTTGTAGTTTTCTTCACTGGGAGGAAAAGAGGATGAACTGTGGTACAGATGGGGAACCCGAATGTGGTGGCACTCAGCCAAACAGGAGTCCTGGCTCCTTAAGGCTGGAGGCTGGGACTCTGAAGGTGGGTCACAGTGGCCGACACCCATTGGGCTCCAGAAACCATTAGCAACACGAATGATGCTTCCCCAAGGGAGCAGCGACTCAGGCCAAAAAATAAACAGCCCATGCACAGTCCTCTTTGCCACTGAGACCTAGCTTCCCCGAGAGGGGATATCAGTCATTTACACTCTAGAGAGAACTAGTGCCCGAGCCATTTTCCTCAGGGATATTTGCAATTCCATCGTTATCTGAGGGTGGAATGGAAGGCTTTATCCTTCAGGAAAGGAATGTCTGGCACTGATGGGCAGTGGGGGAGGCTATTCTTGGCAGGACATACATATGACACTGAGCAGGGACAAGACAGTGGAGGCGGGCGGCACCCAGACCAGGGGGTGTTCTTAAGGGCCAGCTGCCACTGTCCTCTGATTTGTCAGGCCTGAGACCAAGAAGGAGAAGACATCTCAAGTCTTTGGAGAGCCTAAAGCGCTATGGGAACACCAGTGTGGAGGGTGGAATGATTCACGTCGACAGGGGGCGCACCTGACCTGCCCCTGTTTTCTCTGCCCTTCCCACTCCCCCCGCTCAGGGGTCTCTGGGGAACAAACAGACCTTGTCCGTGGCTCCTGCTCCACGGGGATGGGAAGGTCAACTTAACCCTGAAGGGCAGAATGAGGCAGCCCCCTGGTGACCACCTAGACACGTCTCCCTCCAACGGGGCTTTCTATCTGCAGTGACGCTGGCGTTGCGTCTCCACCTGTTTATGGCAGGAGGACCCGCAGCGGGAAGGCACCCCCCTGTGTGTACGTCTGTGTGTGTTTCTCTTGGTTCTGGGGAGACTTCCAAATGCCCCCCAACCAGCAGAGCCCAGCAGGCACAGACTCACGGTCGGCGTCGGCACACACTATGCAGGGGTTCTTCCCCCCAAGCTCCAGGGTCACCCTCTTCAGGTTGCTCCGAGACGCGGCTTCTTTAATCAGCTTTCCAACCTGCAAGATGAGAAAACAGACAGGGTTAGACCTTGGATGTGGCCAGATGTGGCCCCACTGTTCCTCCCCCTCTCCCGGTCACTCCCAGCACCTGAGACCTTGACATGGCTGGACCCCTGGTCTGAGCTGCTCCACGTACCGGGTGGAGCGGGGGCCCCTGGAAAGCCCAGCGCCGGGCCCACACCCTGGTGGCCACCCCTCCCGGCAGCAGACTGGCCAGCTGGTCTGAGAAAAGGCTCCAGGGGTGTTTGGTATAACTGAGGGAGCCCCTAAGAATTCGAGAGTTAGGGGGCTGCCCTCCAGGAGGAGGGGTCCATTCTGTGGGAACGCACGCCAGGCGTGGGGCTTCCACGGAGGGTGGGAGGGCCTGTGTGCTGTGGAAGAGACCCACGCAGCAAACCGCGATGCTCAGCCGCCCGCGTGCCCCTGACCGGTCCCTCCTATCCTCTCACGAGCCGCAAGAGGACGCCTGGATGACTTATCTCGGGTGACAAGTACTGCAGGCGCCATGAACTCAAAGCCTAGATCGGGCAGCCAGCAAGAGGCAGGGCTAGGCTCCTGCAGGGCTGAGGCTGGTCCCCCAACCGAGGTGACCACCTGCTCAAGGTCTGAGAGGTCCCCAGTGACAATGACTGTCCCCAGGTAGACAGCAGAAGCCAAACCTGCTGGGCACGGGCTGGGGGTTCCTTGGTGGGGCTGAGGATGCTCTTACAGCTGGGCATCGGGGGCCACAGTGGGGGGAGCCACAGAGGCCACTTGTCCACGACACTGGGTGCCGAGTGACCGCACCATCTGGCTGGCCCCGTGAGCAGCCTACGGTCGCCTAGAGAAGGCCAGGGCCTCTGTGCTGAGAAGCCAGGGAGGGACAGGGACAGGGACAGGGCTGAGGTTGCTGTTGGGTGAAGAGACTGGAAGGACCTGGGGCAGCTGGAGAGGAGCCACCCTCTGTCCCTGCGCCTCCCCGGCTGAGCCAGGAACGAGGCTGCTGCTGGCTGAGCCCGCCGGCTGTCGCCTGACCTAAGGACATGCAGGGGCCCAGACATGCTGTCTACGCTTCTCTCACAATGCTCACCCTTCCTAGGGGGCGGTATTGTCCAGCTGGCCACAGCTGGCTCCGGCCCCTGGCTGCACTCCACGGGGAAGAGATGGGACATTTATTCCACGGGAAGTATTCGTTTGTTTCTTTTTTAAACACAGAGGAAGTGCTTTCTCATTAAAAATAATTCCACAGGCCCTGGCCAGTTTGGCTCAGTGGTTGAGTGTTGGCCCTCAGACCAAAGGGTCGTGGGTTTGAATCCCAGTCAAGGGCACGTACCTGGGTTGCAAGTTCAATTTCCGGCTCCAGTGGGGGTGGTGCTGGAGGCAACCAATCGAGGTGTCTCTCTCACGTCGATGTTTCTCTCCCTCCCTCCCGCGTTCCCTCCCTCTCTTCCTTCCTTCCACTCTGTCTAAAAACCAATGGAAAGATATCCTCGGGTGAGGATTAACCAGAAAAAAAACCCAAAATATTCCACAGCCCTGGCCAGTGCAGCACAGTGGACGACAGAGTGTCGGCCCATACACTGAAGGGTCTCTAGTTCGATTCCTGGTCAAAGGCACATATTTGAGTTGCAGATTTGATGGCTGGACCCGGTCTGGGCGGGTGTGGGAGGCAACCAATTGATGTTTCTCTCTGTCTCTCTCCCCGTCCCTTCCATTCTATCTCAAAAAAAAAAAAAGAAATTCAATGGTAAAAAATCCTCAGGTGAGGATTAACACACAAATAATAATTCCACATGTGAATTAAAGGAGACGTTTTCATCATGGGATCGTAGTGTACACACTTTTCATACAGTTTACTTTTCTGCGTTCCAACCACAGCTTTGCTTATTGGAATGTCTGTAGACACTGTGTAGGAGAAACAGACTCTACGGAAGGTTCATGAGATTATTTCTCTGAGCAACTTCTTCGAAGCGCAATTTCCAAATCAAAAGTTTTACACTCTTGCCCAGCCGGTGTGGCTCAGTGGCTGAGCGTCGACCCTGCACCAAGAGGTCACCGGTTCGATTCCTGGTCAGGGCACATGCCCAGGTTGTGGGCCTGATCCCCAGTGCAGGGCATGCAGGAGGCCGCCAGTCAATGTTCTCTCTCATCTATGTTTCTATCTCTCTCCATCTCCCTTCTTCTATCTCTAACATCAATAAAGGAAAAAAAAAGTTTTATGGTCTCACGTTTGTGGTGGGAGCTGCCTCCCTGCCTTGCACCTGAGCAACAGTGAGCGCCTGTGGCCCTGGCCTGGTTCACACAGATGTCAATTTCTCCCAGTCTGACAGACCAACAAGGGAAGAGTCCAATTTCTGTTTGAATTAGCATTTCCCCGATTACCCGTGCACTAGGTCAGGCTTATTGGACCTTTGGTATTTGTCTTCTCTGAGCGGCCCACCTTGCCACCATTCAGTTTGTCTTTTTTCTTTTTCTTTAGGGGCACTTTACATATGATGAGCATTGACCCTTGGAGCCGCATGAATGATGACTGTCTTCTCCCAGCTTGTGATTTACCTTCTAACCCGAACTCTGGCGTGGTTTGTCATACGGATGTTTTGCACTTTTATTTCGTCTTATCTATTGGTTGTTTCTCCTTCCAGGTTCTAGAACATATTTATTTAGTCTGGAAACTGGCCCAGTGAGTTTGAGAAACTCATTGTTGCGTACTGACACGTGGTCGGATCCAGAAGGGAAGTGAGGCACAGGTCAACCTCCCGGAGGAAAGTCTGCAGGTCTCAGCTCACCTGCCAACAGCCAGGGCGGGTCCTTACCTCGATGGACCCGGTGAAGGAGACCTTGTTGATCTGGGGATGAGAGGAAATCGCGGCTCCCACGGTGGGCCCGAAGCCTGGCACGATGTTCACCACGCCCGGAGGGAACCCGACCTAGGGGAAACCGAGATGGCCTTCAAGGGAGAGAAGGGACCAGGGACCACCACGGGCCACGCTCGGGCTGAGACAGCCATGGCTAAGTGATGTCCCCGAGCAGAGTGGCGTCCCCACTGGGAGTCTGGGCCCGGGTCACCCACCCACCCTAGGACTCTAGCCCAGTTGGCCAGGGGATCAGGGAGCCAGGGGATCAGGGGGCCAGGGGATCTGGGGGCCAGGGGATCAGGGGGCCAGGGGATCAGAGGGCCAGGGGATCAGGGGGCCAGGGGATCAGGGGATCAGGGGGCCAGGGGATCAGGAGGCCAGGGGATCAGGAGGCCAGGGGATCAGGGGGCCAGGGGATCAGGGGGCCAGGGGATCAGGGGGCCAGGGGGCCAGGGGATCAGGGGGCCAGGGGATCAGGGGGCCAGGGGATCAGGGGGCCAGGAGGCCAGGGGATCAGGGGGCCAGGGGGCCAGGAGGCCAGGGGATCAGAGGGCCAGGAGATCAGGGGGCCAGGGGATCAGGGGGCCAGGGGATCAGGGGATCAGGGGGCCGGGAGGCCAGGGGATCAGAGAGCCAGGAGATCAGGGGACCAGGGGATCAGGGGGCCAGGGGATCAGGGGGCCAGGGGATCAGGGGGCCAGGGGGCCGGGAGGCCAGGATGAGGTGCACACTCTTCCTTCTAGACAACACTTTTCATCCTAACAGGAGTGGTGGCTCTCCATAGCAGAGTCACTGTGTGTGTGTGTGTGTGTGTGTGTGTTGGGGCATAGGGACACCTTGGTCACAACCCCCAAGGGTCAGAGGCACCTGCAAAATGTCCTTTCCAAATCTGCGTTTTCATTTCTTAAATCTGCCCCATAAATGTTCCAAATGGCAACAGAGCGTCACCCGCTTCGAGCTCCCGCTTGCTGAGCCGGAAATGGGTCCGTTACTGGCTGCGCCCACCAACCTCCCATCGAAGCCACAGAGGCCGTGCCACCCCGTGGGCTCGGCGGAAGTGACCTGGACGGACCTTCTCCCATGCTTCTTCCTTTAAATCCCCTCATGTTTCTCCCTTTCACTCTTTCCGACATAGAAGCTGGGGACAGAAGGACTGAACCATGTTGCCCTGTGTGCCCGAAGAGAGGTGTCCCTTTGGGCTGCTAGTTTCCCTGAGGGGTGGCCGCCTGGGGAGCAGGTGATCACCCCCCTGAGAGCTGGAGACCCAGCTGGGCAACAGCCACTTCGGCAGAGCTGCCAAGATGACCCCTCCAAGGGAAACATCGACCATTTTGTACCCCACAAATGCAAGGCCCGAAGACCCTCCGAATATTCATTTCCTTCCCAACTGATTCTCCTGCAAATTCTCTGCTGAAAACGCGTGGTCCCAAAGCAAGTTTGAGCCCATCGCGAGAGTCCGATCCTCCGGTGCCATCCGTGGGAGGAGTGGATTCCTTGCAGCTCAGGGACCACGAGCGGGAGCCATCGGGCAGTTGCCAAGTGAAACAGGCGTCACGCCCTTCCCACTCAGCCGGAGCAGGCCGGACCGTCACACACGGCACGGCAGCTTTATCTCACGACAGTGCTAGTTCCCAGGAGTGGGGATGTTACCAAGAACACGTCATATTTTCCTTTTGGATCTTACCTCTTTGATCAGGGAGCCGAGGTGAAGGGCGGTGAGGGGTGTCTGTTCGGCAGGCTTCACGACAATAGTGTTGCCACAGCACAGAGCGGGAGCCAGCTTCCAAACCAGCATCAGCAGAGGGAAGTTCCACTGTAACAGGGCACAGGGGACAGTGGGGACCCGGATCCACCCCGCTACCCTGTCCTGAGTGTCAACAAGGCCTCCATGGAGGACACTTGCTTTGCACGGTCTAGATTTGGGGTTTAAAGGGTAACATAGGAGTTGGCAATGATCAGAATTGCATTCCAGCCTGGTGCTCCCTAAGTGCATTCTGGGGGGTTGCTCATAGTTACTCTTTGCCAAGAGGATTCCTCTGTGCGTGCAGGATTCCACTACCTCCTCCTCTTGGAGGTTTACAATGCCCTCAGCATGTTAAAGGCTCTGAAAAGTCCTGCAGGGAAGACACCCACCTCTCCTCAACTCACATGGCACAAAAGCTTTTTATCTTCTTACAGAAGAGATACTCAGTCCCTCTGTGAACAGGTGCTTAGTGAAATTCATTTTGGGAAATGCTTTTCTTGTCGTCTTTCAACCACGGAGTCAAGGATATTGACATCATTGCGACAATAAGCCTACAAAAGCCTACCGGGCGTTCCCTGTGCGTCTGGCGCTGTTCTATCTAAGCACTTCACAAAACGTAACTACAAACCAGTATGAGACAGTCACGTTATTACTGCCACTTGCAGATGGGAACTTCCCGGCAGCTTCCAGGCTGCCCACTGCCCAGTGAACAAAGTCCTGGACCCCGAGCAGCCAGGCCCAGTGCAGGCTGGGCCCACTGACCCGGGCCTGCATCCTCTTCCTCACTTTCTCCCGTGTTAGCTCCGGCCCACCGGCTGTCCTGCTACTGAAGTAGGCCAGGCACCTCCAGACCTTCACTTGGAAAACCCTTTTTCCTGTTGGACATTCTTATCCTTCAGGGCCCAGTTAAGAGACCACTGCCCCGGGGGTGCCGGCCCTTCCTGGCCTCTCCGTTTGGAATCCATGCTGCCTCTGTCACATTCCTGGGGTTGTCCTGAGAGCGGACAGGGGGTCTCATCCACCTTGATGACCCTCACGCACCACACCACAGAGCAAATGCTCAATTAATGTTCTTGAGAGTGAATAAAAAATTGGTTCTGAGGGCCCCAAAGGAGCTGGGCGAGCCGAGTACTTACAGGAGTGATAGCCCCACACACGCCTATGGGCTCATGCCTGGTGAAACACACCACGTTGTCATCTGCAAGAGAGGTCACACGGAGGAGAGGAAGACACGCTCATCCAGATGAAGGCTTTTCAGTACTAACAAGACAAGGACTTAACCCAGAAACCACAAAGCTGTCAGTTCCGTCTTGTCTGTCACACAAAGAGGTGGTTTTCAACTCAATTCCAAATGCAAAATTCCTTAGAAGGAGGATCGGCACCGTGCCATTTCTTTTTGGGGACCCGGGAAATGGCCAGAGGTACTCTGCAGCCAGCCTAGGGGAAGGGAAAGACGGGAGGGGGGTCCCCAAAAGACCTGTTGGAAGCTGAGCGCCCTGCGTTGGCTCACCTGTGGGGATGGTCCTGCCCTGTATTTTGTCTGCCCATCCTGCAAAGTATCTGAGGGTTTTGATACAGCCCTCCAGGTCGATGAAGAAGGCGTGGAGGAATGGCTTCCCTGTGTCCATGGTTTCCAGGGTCTGCAAGGACAAGACAGCAGTCTCAGACACAGTCTCTTTTTACCTGTTAAGAATGGGGGAAGGGAGAGAGGGAGAGCGCACGTCCCAGACCACTGGCCTCCACTCCTCCCAGTCACACGTGTCCCTTTAGAAAGCAAGAAACTGCATCGGCCCGATGCACGGCCGTGGGTCCCCATAAAGGACAGTGGACACAAGGCTGATGTTAAGCCTTGCTCAGGAGGACGACTGAGTGTCTGGAGACGTTGCCCCGGCCGTGTGACCTGGCCGCGTGGGGTTGTGCATGCGTGGGAAGCTCCCCGAGGTTAGCTGGCGACAGGACTGGTTTGTCTGACCAGAACGGGAGGACAGTTTCCTCCTTCTTGGCCCAGCTGACCCAGAGCGACGGAGGGAGCCCAGAAATGTCCCGCCACCGGCTCAGGACACAAAGCCCCCTAACGGGCTGCGGCGCTGCAGGCCGGATGCGTGTGGCAGGAGCGGACGCGCCCTCGGTGGTGAGGCAGCCGATTACCCAGGGCGAGCGCACGGCTCAAAGGCGGGGATTCTTTTCTATTTCCAGCCCGGGTTTCAGAGGGCCCCTTTGTCCTTGGGACAAGCAGCCCCAGTTGAGCCCAGGGCTGAAACGGCCCGGCATCCGTCTCTGCAGGAAGTGGCCACCCTGACACACAGCCCAGGGCCGGATTCCTGTTTTAGAGTCGGTGCGGCAAATTGTGCTTTGCAAAGGGAGAGGCCCCTCGTGTGCGCCCCTGGACACCTCATGTCTGAGCGCCACGGCTCGGTCCTCCCTGCAAGGGGCGGGCTCGGAGGCTCACGGGTCGTGCAACAGGTCAGTGGCATGGCCAGCACTGCCCTTGGGGGCACCTGACATCCAGCCAGCACCGCGACTGCCCTGATCTGGAAAGACTGCAGGACGGCCACGTGAGACGCTGGGCTCCTCTGTCTGACCTCGGCAGCCTCTGACTTAGTCAACCACTTTCCTAGGGCGGCAAGTCCCCGACTTGCTCCCTGCCTCAGTTTCCTCGTCTGTAAACTGAGAATAATAATAGTAATAGTACCTACCTCGTAGAGCCAGTGGGAGGGTTAGAGTTAATATCCATTAAGTACTAACAACTGTGCCGGCCCATAGCGAGGGCCCTGTCCGCTGCTCAGATGGCCACAGCAATAACCCCGGTGATTATAATCATCTCCTTTATTTTCTGGGACCAGACACAGGAGCTGGGTGATCCTCATTTGGGGACAGTGAGGACACAGAGCTGTGAGATACGGGACGTGACAGGGTAGACTGGAGGGGGGATGGGTCCCACCCCTCACCAGTGCTGCTCAGGGACCAAGTCAACCCAAGGTGACACCCACCTACTGTCCCTTTGGCTCCTGTTAATTTACATTCCGAGTTGGAACTTTTATTTTCCCAGGGGAAACCCAATATTGCAAATCATGCCAAACGTCCCAAACGGTCTCAAGGACTAGGCATCAGCGTACCCGTCCGTGGGACCAGGATTTTATTCTTGGCCCTTTTGGGGATGAGAAAGGGAGAGAAAGGCAAGGGACTGTGGCTTAGACTCATGGGGAACTGTAGGGCATCTCTGGCTGGGCAACCGTGGCCAGGTCACACACCTCTCTGGGCCTCAGGGTCCTCAGCTCTGAATTGGGATAATAAAGGCCACAGGTGCAGTGCCTACAAGCAGCCTGGGACGTGCTGAGCACTCTACAGGGATCGGCCATTCCTCATTATGAACCCGGGCAAGGCTGCCGACCCCAGCGACAGCATGACTTTGCTCGGCTGGTTTTAGGGAATCTGTCCAAGCCAAACCGTATCACAATAGGCTTAGATAGGAAATTCTTGTAAAAAAAAGGGGGTTGGCCTGGCTGGGCAGCTCAGTTGGTTAGAGTGTCGTTCCGATTTGCCAAGGTTATGCGAGAGTTGACCAATGAATGCCTAAATAAGTAGAACTGTGAATCTCTCTATCGATGCATACAATTTTTAAGAAAAATTTAAAAAGGATTTGCAGGTGAGCAGACAGGACTGAAACTGAGAAATTAAGTCTTAGCTACTGGCTGGGACTTCTAAACAGTAACTGAAGCTGGACCCCGAGTAAGTCACACGGCGCCCCTAAGTTTATGTCCTCGGACATTTGAAGGGACAGTCTGCCTTCTGATAACGTCCTAACGCTCAGATACTAAGAAACAAAGAAAAAGTACCAGGGAGCCTAATCCTGGACTCCAAGTGAGCCAAGGCTGAAAATGAGAGAGCCTAGCCCGGCCAGTGCAGCTCAGTGGATGGAGCATCCTCCCAAGGACTGAGAGGTCCTGGTTTGATTCCGGTCAGGGCACATGCCCGGGTTGCGAGCTCGATCCCTAGTGGGGGGCATGCAGGAGGCAGCAGATCTAAAATATCAATACAAACATATTTAAAAAAAATAAAATAGTCCGGCCCGCATGGCTCAGTGGTTGAGCATCGACCCATGCACCGAGAGGTCACCGGTTCGATTCCCGGTCAGGGCACATGCCCAGGTTGTGGGCCTGATCCCCAGTGGGGGGCATGCAGGAGGCGGCCAATCGATGTTCTTGTTCATCGAGGTTTCTATCTCTCTCCCCCTCTCATTTCCTCTCTATAAAATCAATAAAGGAAAAATAGATAAATAAAAAAATAAAATGAGGGAGCCCGGGTATGTGCCTCAGTTTCAAAAGGGAGTAAGCAAAAAGGACCCCTAATTGGGGGACCTCCAAATGTACACGGAAAAGCCAGAACCAGGGCCCCCACTGCCTCAGGAAGGGGGAGAAAGCAGGGCTGGTAGACCCCACACATCTGTTTCCAAACACTGAGCACAGAAGTAAATGCCCAGTCCTGTCCAAACCACTGAGCCACCGCGAGGACAAGACGGAAGGAAGCGCTTTGTTGCTTGAAAACGCAGCAAAAACATATCGAGGTGGAGAGGGAAGGCTCTTTCCTATGATGTGGTCCAAGTTCCAAAACCGTAGCTGCCAATACTCGGCTCGTCCCTTTCATGATGTGGCAAAGGGTTGGCTCTTACTCCCCGGCGGTCGCTGAGGTCCCCGTGGCAGAGGTGCCTGGTTCCGTCTGCTGCCACAACACAGCCCTGCAGGCGGAGGGGCGGAGGGGCGGGCGGAGGGCGAGGGGCCGCGGCCCGGCTCCCTGTGATAACAGTGACACTGGAGGACAGGGCGGGGAGGGGCGCTCAGGACACATCCTCTCTCCGGGCTCTGAGTCCACACACATTGCAGACTGATGAGCTCATGCTGGGGAAAACAGAAATGTTTTTGAAGAAGCCAGTTTGGCAGCTTGAGAGTTGAGACTGGCTTTCGTTGCAGGAAGAAACCAGAGGCTCCTTGGAGAGAAATGCCGACCCTGGGAGGGAGCTACCCTCGCCGGGGTTGGGGGCAGACATGCCAGACCGGCTGACCGGGGAGGAAGGGAGATAGCTCGGTCTCTGGGCAGATGAGCCTCAGAGGAGAACCCGAGACGGGAGTTCCTCCACCCTGCGTCGTGAAGACGCGCAGTCAGCGACAAGCGGTGTCAGCGTCCTGGCGGGCACTGTCCTCCACGAGCGTGCGTACTTGGCTGCTGGTCCCTGACGTCAGGTCAGGAAAGGAAAGAGCCGTTTTTCCGAATCCGAGGCCAAAAGAGAGATTTCCTCCCCTGCCATCCTGCCTCAAGGTTTGGAGCACGTTTTAAACAGAAGTCGGAGCTGTCCCAGGGCTTCCTGTGCAGGTTGCAAAGGACCCGAGGCGCAAGGTGTCCCTGAGGTGTCCTCTGATCATGCACCACGAGACCAAGAGACGGTCCGGGGGTCCCGTGAAATAAGGCACTTACCACTTATAAGTGTCTCCCCAGCCCCACTGCATGGGAGCAGCCCAGCCTCATGGAGTGGGCTGAATTAATATCCCCATTTCACAGTGGAGAAACTAAGGTACCGAGACATTACTGGCCAGGAGGGTTAGAACCCGGGTCTTCAGACAGCGTTACTATGGAGACGGCTATTACTAGTAATAGTTATTATCTATTTAGTGCACACCAGGGACTCTGCTAAGGACTTTAAATGGGCCATGCTTACAACACCTAGATATCATTATTAGTGACGTTTTCCATGAGAAACATATGCTCAGAGAGGTCGAGCAGCTTGTCCAACGTCACACAGCTAGCAAGTGGCAGAGCTGGGATTTGAACCCCGGTCTTTCATGTAACCAGGTTTCCCTGCCCTCCCCATCACACAACACAGGCTCACCACTGCCCAGTTCCAGAATGGTGCAGAGACCATTTCTAGCGCACACAGGAACAGTTTTTGTTATTGTTGTTGTTGTTTTTTTTTTAGTTGTTTTTTTTGATATTTTATTCAGATAGAGTGGGACAGAGAGAGAGAGAGAGAGAGAGAGAGAAACATCGATGTGAAAGGGACACATCAAGTGGTTGCCACCCTCACAACCCAACCAGGGCCAGGGACAAACTGCAACCGAGGTACATGCCCTTAGCGGGAACTGAACCCGGGTCTCTCTGGACCGCAAGCCGACGCTCTAACCGCTGAGCCAAACCGGCCAGGGCTGTTATTGTTGTTAATCCTCACATGAGGATATCTTTTCCACTGATTTTTAGAGAGAGTGGAAGGAAGGGAGGGAGAGGGAGAGAGAGATGTGAGAGGAACACATCAATCGGTTGCCTCCCACATGCACCCTGACTGAGGCCAGGGATCTAACCTGCAACCCAGGTACGTGTCCTTGACACGGAACTGAACCTGCAACCCTCGGTGCACGGGCCAACACTCTAACCACTGAGCCACACCGGCCAGGGCAGGAACACTTTTTATGTTAAACGGTGGCATTTATTTCAATAAATATTGAAAACATACAACCAGCACGTTAAACCTGAGATTCCATGGGCATTGCCACTTAGGATGAGGTTAAACATAAGTTTAAAAGGGGGTTCATGCAAAGAAAAAGGCGGAGTTCATGACTCCACAAGGTAGGACCAGCCCATCAGCCGTCTGTGAATAGGTCAAGTCTGGGAACCACTCACTAAGCTAAACCTCCTCCCTGCAACTTCGTGGTCCAGGAGCTCAGCTGCAGGGGTGAAAGTGCAAAGGTGAAGGGTCACCTGCCTGCTCCAAAGCCTAACCCCACAGGACTGAACAGACCCGCGGTCTCACCAAACCAGCGCCCTGGGTCTTTATGTTCCATGCCCCATGGGGGATGGGGCCCTCGCGAGACTGCTTGTCCCAAGTCTGTCCCTCACGTGGGTGTACTCACGGCCAGGACAGCGCGGTCCCTCTCCACCAGGTCGGCCAGCTGGTGCAGCAGCCGGCCTCGGCTCAGGGCATCCAGCCGGCGCCATGGCGAGCCCCTCTGGAAGGCGGCTTGCGCAGCCTCCACGGCCTTGTCCACGTCGGGCTGAGCGGCCAAAACAAGAGAGAACGTGTCACCTTGCGGTCGACTGCCGTTTGGGACAGCTACAGAGAACAGCAGAGGCCTGCCTCCCTCAGGCGACAGAAGACGGGGGCGGGGTGGCCAGCAATGACTGGAAGGTTTCCCAAGGGACTCTTTTCTTTTTACATCTCCATCATTTTCAAGATTTCTACCGCGGCCAAGTATGAACTTTCCTTCTGATCCTAAAAGCGTTTTCGAATAGTTTATAAAACCACCGGCCTTAATGAAGTATTTTTCTTGGTCACCAGAGCAGGAAAAGATTTTCCACTTGCTAGACACACACACGGTCACAGTGCACCAAAGAGGAGGGAGATGGCTGTGTGGCATTTCGCTCCAGCTGAGGTCTGTGGTCCACCGGTGAGAACGGGCAGGGGCGCCTCTGGCTCTCAGAACCGACCACATTGAAAAAGCCCGCAGACGGGGACAGTTGGGAACCCGCTCCTTAGCCTCACCTTCCCGCCGGGCTACCGTTTCATACGCAAGGAACAGGGCCTCTGTGCGCCCAGAGAATTACAACAGAACCTTCCACTTAAAAGGAACGAAGGGAGAGGCATTTAGAGGAACACCACTCATTCTGACTTTCGGGAAAATGGGGTTCGAGGTTCCGGTTGCTGGTGGCTCACCCCCAGGCCCCTCTGAGCCTCCTAGGAAGACAGACGCGCGGCAGGGGACACCTGATACGGTCAAGGGAGGCACACACCAAGACTCCGTGTCGCCAAAGCATGCTTGGAGGTGAGGGGAAGCTTTGTCAGGGAGATAGACATTAGGCTTTGAATTGCTTGTCGCAGGCCCTGGGGTCAAGGCAGGACCTCTCCAGCTGCAGGGGACAGGGCCGCCTCTGTCTCAGGGACTCGGAGCAGTCACCCAGACAGAGGGAGAAGTAGAGCCCAGGGCAAGGGTCCCATCCTCCTCCCTGATACCTGTGTGCTGCACCTGGGGGTCGCCCACCAGGATCCTGTTCAGCATCATGCCCCTCCCCCTCCCCCATCCTTACATCTCATATGAGCTCCTAGGTCCTGGCATCTTTGCAAACAGAGCTTTGCCAGTGACGCTGCACGTCGGAGGGTCTGCACAGGTGCAACCGCTGTGCATTGCACACCGATCCCCGAAACGGGGGCTGGTGGCCTCAAGTTCAGGTCTTGTTTCACATGTGTTTTGTTCCCCCTATCCATGTGCAGCGTCGCCCATACACTTGTTAAGAACATCAGGGGAGAACTCTAGTGGTCGAGAAGAGGTTTACATTTCCCTTCTCTCAGAACAACTTGACCTTCAACCTTTGCCCCAGCGGCACTTACATTCCAAAGGTACAGGATACTTTATGGCTTTGAAATGTATCAAGGAAATATCCAGAAGTCCCTTAGCTTTATACACATACACGTGTTACATTCTATAATGTTACATATAATAAACATATAATATGGCTTATGTTATAATATATGCCCAAATGTGTTGTATAGTGATATTATATATATATACACACACACAAACACATATATATACATACACACACATATATATACACATATATATATACATATATATAAAATATTATAATAAGCTCATTATAATATATTACATGACCATTCACATTTCTGGTAGAAAACAAATCTGGTAATTACATGACGTTCTGACCACTGTGTGACTTGGTTAGCAAGTCTTTTTCTTTGAAATGTTTCTGTCTTTTTAAGTGTCTCCTGCCAGAATGCTGTGTTTGGTGAAATACACCAGCCAGAAATGCGTTCTGGAGAGGTTAACGCCTCCAGGTTCGAATCCTTGATAAAAACCTTTCCTTCAGCCACACGGCGAGGAAAGCTGAGGTCATCCTCATAGATGGGGAGCCGCCCATCAGAGGTGAGTGACTTCCTGCAGCTCACAGCCCCTAATGGGTCCCGTTCTGGGCCGTGTGTCTGGGAAGCAATGAGCTTACGTCCCAGCAGTTGAGTTACTTGGGGTTGGGTGAGGGCACCTACCTTATCTCCTTCCTCCACCTCGCAGATTGGTTCTAGAGTCGCAGGGTTGTACGTCGCAAACTTGGTCCCAGTCTTGGACTCATGCCACTCGTTGTTGATGAATATCTAACCAAGAAAGGAAGTTGTAGTGCATTAGGCTTCAATCAAAATCATATAACTACAGGCGCTCAGGTAACTCCTTGTCCTTCTCCACCGCCTGCCCACCCCCCGCCGCTTTACAGAGGGGACTGCAGGGGAGACAGAGTCACAGGCCCAACCTGGGGCACACTCAGAATTAGAATCCAAGTCTCTAGACTTTTTTTTTTTTATCCTCATCCGAGGACATTTTTCCATTTTTTGTTCAGATAGAGTGGGAGGGAGGGAGAGAGAGAAACATTGACGTGAAAGGGACACATCGAGTGGCTGCCACCCGCACGACCAACCAGGGCTGGGGACAAACTGCAACCGAGGTACATGCCCTTAGCGGGAACCGAACCCGGGTCTCTCTGGACCGCAGGCCAACGCTCTAACCGCTGAGCCAAACTGGCCAGGGCTAGACTTTTTTTTTCCCTTTTCTTCAAAGAACAGTTTACTGACCTTCAGAGAGAGAGGAAGGTAGAGGAACATCGATGAGAGAGCATAACATTGCTTAACTGCGTCCTGCAGGCCCCCCCACTAGGGATCGAGTCTGGAACCCGGGCATGTGCCCTGACCGGGAATCGAACCAGCGACTTTCAGTGCCCAACCGAGTCACACTGGAGAGGGCCAAGTCTCTTGACTTTTACTCCATGTTCAGAGAATTACTTTTTGTCATAATAAAGCAAAAAAAAAAAAAAAAAAATTCAGATTTTTTTTTCTAAAATATTCTTTTTGTTGAACAATAGCACAGATCACAGGAATAGCTGAGTTATATAGTTAAACAAGGGTGCAAGTTAAATCCTGTCCTCTCATCGAGTTTGGGGTAGATTAAATAGGTTTAGAAACATTAAGTGCCAAGCGATCTGCCCACTGCCTCCTTCCTCCTTTCTGCAACCCCAGCTAGACCGCTGCGGAACTGGCTTCCTACAACGACCTTACTAGAACCCTCTCTCCCTGCCCACCAGCACCCCCTCCCCATCCTCTTCCAAAACATCCATTTTCATGTTGAGCTTAATACAAGCCAGTGTTAGAACACAAAGATAAATATCGGGGTTAGGAAGTGTTCTGGTTATGTTAACACATGTGGTAAATAAACGTTTACATGCAGAACCGAGGAATTAACCCGCTAAAATCACTTTGTTTGGAGCCTGAATGATCCCGAACAAAGCCGAGAACAAGACCGTTAAAAATACCACGGCGTCACGAGCAAACCAAAAAGGAGTCACCAAATGTGTGTACTATTTACTCTCGGTTTATTCCAAGTTCTGACGGCCCGAAGAAACACCACATTAAAACAGGGGGCTTTTGACCGAGAGCGAGGAACGGAGGTGACAGGTGATGCACAGAACACCTAACGGCACGAGGACTCAGCGACCCAGCGAGAGACAGACAATCTCCGGCGGTGGCAGCCAGGGACAGCGTCGTCGTCACAGCCAGTCACTGCCGCAGAAAGATCTCAGTCACAGACACAGCCGAGGCCCTCGAGAGACATTTCCATCAAATTAAATGCTGTCGATAATTTCTAAACGCACAACCAGCTTATCATTCCCACCCTATACCCTACATGCATAGCTTTGCTTCTCTTGAAGTTGTTTAAGAAGAATCGGGTCGCCAGCAGGGCTAACGTCAATTATTGTGAATTTTACTCAATTGGATTGCTTGATTCCCAAGTGAGGACAGATAAGAGGGGAATCGGCCCGTCCAGCATGTGGCAGGTTCTGTCCTCTGTCCTGACTCTCCTGTGGGAGCCCCAAAGCCCCCCGGGGAAGGAAGCCCACTCTGAGAAGCTGCTGCGAAGACTGTTTGGACGACTCTCCCCTGAGAAGCGGGGAGTCCGGAGGCCAGCTCCGGCTGGGCAGGTGGGCAGAGCCCCCCATCACCCCCCTGCGTGGAAGCCGGAGCCGAGAGCATCCCTCGTCCGTGGGATGTGCCCATCTGACTTCTGGAAGCTCAGCGCCTTCAGCGTGAGGCCAGGCCCCCAGGGAAGCCAGGCTACAATTACAGGTTTATTCTTCCAGCTGAAACCAAATCCAAGCGGGGACTTTTGCCATCCAGCAGGCAATCACTCGCTAACAGTGAGAAATTAATAAGTGCAGAAGAGAGAAGTTCGCGTGGGGGGGGGGGGGCGGGGAGCCGCCAGGAAGAGAGGCCCATTTGTCGGAAGATGAAATTTCGTGGGTTAGATAATAGAGACTGTCAGTGAAAACTGCTGATTCTAGGTCCTTCCTGGTATCAGTTCCGGGGGGAGGGGGTGGAAAATGAGAAGGTGGTAGAGGAGAATATAAATAAAGGGGAGGGAAACAGATTGCAAGGATCAGATGTCTGTTATACTTCACCTCCAAGCATGTTCCTCAAAAAAAAAAAGGAAAAAAAAAATTCACTCAGTCGTTCACAACATTGACGTGGAGTCTTTTCTAACCAGCAACTTAAAAAAAAAAAAACCAGGCAGACTGCTCAACTCTAACCATATTTTTCCCATCACAATGTTTCTAATTTAGCCAACATTTTTCTTTATGCTACACTAGTAAATAATCTTGTAAGTGGTTTCCACTGTGGATTTTCTGTCCACGGAGAGAACAAACAGGAATAAAGTAGGGATCAGCGAGGGAGAGTTGTATTGTCTGCAAACCCAGATCGGAATAACGGGTCTGGGAAAGAACCCCTCCCGTGATGTGTGCGTGGGCACGAAACAAATCTCGGAGTCGTGCAGAGCTGCGCTGCATTGAGCTGCAGACGGGATTCCAACGTTTTCAGGGCTGGGCTGGAGACCACAGCTGTGCGGAGCAGACGGTGTCCTGCCAGAAGCCATCGCGGCCGTCACCCCGCGAGCCCTACTGAGACCATTTCCAGGAACTTCCACCGGACCTCGGCTCAACTCGAAAGGAGTGTGTTTTCAGAAAAAGAGGTTTGAGGGAATTTTATTTTTCTTAAGAGCCAGTGTTGTGACGAGCCAGGAAATCGTAACAAGCATCTCTGCTACTAGAGGACATTCTGTAAGGAAAGGAAGGGGCCCCCTAACGGGAATGGTGTTGCTATCCTCTGAGATCTGTGTGGGGGTTCTGGAGGGACCCTCCCCCCACCAGAACCACGGAGCAAGCCCGATGTCAAAATCGTGAGAACCAACGAAGGCACTTGGACGAGGTCTTCCCTTTGGAAATTGGACTTACCCTGGGGAATGGCACCCTGAAGGGCCTGGGCTCAGACCCACCACCTCTGTCTGGTACGTGCTCCATCAACAAGGAGCACCATGCATCAGTTTGAAAAACAACAGATCGGTACCGGTTCACACACTCCACCCCTCCTGCCTGCCTGCCTTGGGCTTCGATTCAGGAGTTCTGCTCCTCCAGCCTCTTTCTTGGGCTCTGTGGGCTGCCCCTCCAGCCTGGCTGCCCACTCTTAGCCACATCACAGAGGCTGCCTGGGCCCCACATATGCTGGGAGGGGCCTTTGCAGAGGTGGGCCCCGGGCAAGGACAGGGAAGGAGGGTATTGTGACCTATTGTCGGGCTGGGGCCGCCATTACCGCCTGGGATCCCCTGAGGAGCCTGCTCTCTGTTCTCCTCCATCTCATGGGTTTTCTCAGCCGTAATCACGTAATCACACCCGGTTCTGATCCACTGGGGAGACCCAATAAGACGAAAAGACTGGTCCTCTGTGAATCTGCTAAGCTCCTCCTTTCTACAGACTGCGGAGACTTTCAGAGAGAGAGATACGTGGGTGTATCACTCTGATAGGACCCCAAAAGGTAAACAGTAAAAGGACAATCATATATGCAAGTTCTGGTTCCTACATTATTAAAAAAACAACAACACACCCTATAAAAAACCAACATAAAATAAAACACGGTCATTACTACCAACTGGCGAGCACCCACAACATTTGTGTCTGCATTTTCGCTCTGAAGTTGATCCCTGTGAAGGCAACTATGTTAAAAACGATCTCCAGCATTTACGGTGAAGGGCCTCCGTTGATTACAGAGCCCTCTGAAAACGGTTAATTTCAATGTCATGTGATCAGAGGCTCAGCCGACATTAAGTGCCCCAGACCAAAATCTGAAGGCCACACTTGGTGGCCTGCAACTTTCTCCGCCTGATTAAAACTATTTGAGAGACATAATTGCTACTTTTGAAAGTAAAATTGATGGGGGAATTTTCTAAGTGCTGTGTCAGCTGGAGTTGGGGGCTACGGATAAAATGCAAAAATAAAAAGAGACGTAGCTGGGGAATGTAAAGCCAACCACGCTCTGGGTCTGAGCCCCTGAAAGGCCCCCCCGGCCTCTGCCCACGGCCTCCAAACAGCCTCCCTGCCGCTCCCAGCCCAGCTCCAGGCCTCCTAGCTCCGTTTCTGCCCCGTGCAGGTGACCTCATCGCTTTGCTGACACTCCAGCCTCCTAGCTGGCAGCGCACAAAAGGCGCAGGGCCTGGCGACTTTGGGGTACGATGGGGCCCTGCCACCCCGACCCAGATCTGAGCAACTCCACCAGTGACCACCTTCCCACGTCCCCTGCTCTACTGGTCATCTAGGTACAAGCTCAGCGCAGAAGCTGCCTGACGTTTCTCCTTTGGCTCCCGTGCCATGTTTCCGGATGACCCCAAGATCTCAGACCTTCTCTTCACGTTCCCGACACCCTCTGACCCTCCCCGAAGGCCGACCGGCTCCGGCCCGGAAACCCTGCAGCAGGGTCTGCGGGGAGCCCACCAGCTCGCCCGAGGCCCCACACCTCCCGCTCATCTGCAAAGCGGGCCCTGCAGGGGCACGTCGGGGCCGCGCGGAGCTGCGGCTGGCACCGTGCGGGCGCTTCGCAGCCTCCCCCGCCCGGCTTTGAGGTTGAAAGCGCTGAGCGCCCCTGCCCAAGAGCCCGTCCGAGGGTGGGAACCGCGGAGTCCCCCTCGGGGTGCGCCGTGGACGCGTGCGCGGGACGCAGGCTCCCGCCTGGGAAGCCCGGCGCTGAACGCGGCTCCGGGAGGGCCCGGCCCAGGCGGAGCGGCTCAGGTCCCGAGAGCCGGGCGAACCAAGCGGAGAGCGCACCGCCCGCAGCGCCCAACACCCTCGGCGCGGAGCAGCGGGGACTCCCGCTGGCCCCTGTCCGGTCATCCCGGGCCGGGCGGCCCCATGCGGAGCCAGGCTGCTGTCGGATGGGATGGGCGCCACCTCACCTTGGTGAACTTGACCTCCAGGTTGCGGATGGGGCGCGGCAGGGCAGGCGGCTTCTTGTCGGGCTGCCCGTTCTCCACGGCCCCGTTGGTGGTGGCCATAGCTCCTCACGCTCTCGGTCCGCGGCTGCCGCACCGGCTCTGCCCTGGGCGCTGCGCAGCCTGCTCCGAGGGTGACAGCTCCGCGCCGCTTTATGGGGAGCCCCACGCCTCCCGCCCGAGGGGGCGGTCTAATTGGCTGCAGGACGGGAAGAAGGGAGGGCCTGAGGGAGGGGAGGGGGCTGGCCCGCCTCACCCCACCCCACCCGCCGCCCCTGCGAGAGCCGCGCACTCCGCCGCCCGGAGGCTGCCCTTGAAGGAGCTCCCCGAAGCGCCACCGGCCCCGAAAGTCCCAAGGCGCGGGCAGCGGGCCCGGACAGGGCGCGGGGACCGCAGCGCCCAGCTGTCTCCCCGAAGTCGAGCGAACTCGCCCGTGGCACCTGCCGCCCCCTGCCCGCTGCCGCACCGTGTTGTGGTCCAACTTGGGCGGCGCTGCGCCCTGGCAATGCCCGCCCGCCTGGGGGCCTGCTCCGCGCCCTGGGTCCGTCCAGTGGGGCGGCCCCGCGTCGTTGCCCACGTGCCTCGGCCGCTGCTGGGTCCCCACTAGCAGGACAGACGGCCGCGAGCCCCCTTCGGCCAGAGCTGGGACAGCCGGTCGGCTGGCCAGGAATTTCCCCGGGGCTCTGGAACTTCAAGCGCAAAGTAGCAAAAGGCGAAGGAAAAGCTTCAGGCCCTTCCTGCACAGCGCCCTGGAGTCCCGGCAGATGGGCCTTTGACCTTCAGAGGATCGCACCGCCCTCCAGCCCAGGGCTCCCGGATGCAATTAGTTTGATTTTTAAAATGCACGAATTATACCGCAATTTAAAAAAAAAAAAGGAAAAAGAGAAAGCACATAAGAGCTTTGCAGTTCTTAAGCGTGGAAGCCCAGAACTTCCCAGGGAAGCAAAGGCCCGTCCCAACCCCTCTCCTTTGACCTTTCAGAGACGTTCCAACTGCAGGGACTGCCCCAGGTCCCCTCTGAGACGCGGGAGCGGCTTCTCCTGCACGTCACCCCCAGGTTTCTGGCACAATAACGAGGGGTGCAAACTCCCGGGACAAAAGTAGTGCTCAGCGCCTCGGTCCATATCCTTCTGTAAGTTCAAGTGATCGGGTACTTCTTACTGTCTGAGGCTCCTCCTGTTTGTTTTGGGGGCTCCGTGTCCATCTCTGTCCCCTCTCTCCTTCTGGGTGTTCTGGGGAGTGAGTGGAGTGAGCTTAAAAGCTTTTGCAAACCCCTCCTCAGACCACCTGCCTTCTGGGGGTGAAAGGGTCCTATGCCATTATGGGTGAGACTCCCAGGTGAGGCGTGGAAAGGGGACAGGGGGTCCCCTGAACGGGTTAGGGTTAACTGACATCAGTGAGCCTGTCCTGCCTGGATGCTGGGCTCTCCAGCCTTGACCTGCCTCAGGGCAATGCTGTCTCTTTCTTAAGCTGCTCCTGCCAGTCCTTGGGTTCGCTGTCCTGGGGTCCCCACTCAGGTCTCCTGGACACATGTGGCAGGATGCTGAGCCTGGGTGCCTGGGGTGCCCCAAGCGTCATGAGCTGCGATGAGCAAACCTTTTTCAGCTGAACTGCCCTTCTGAGGGTTTTGGGGGGAGGTGCTGGATGGTTGAACGTAAGTCACTCAAAAAAGAGCTTTAAAAAAACCCGAAAAAGTGTAGAGGAAACTGAGTTGATGAAATAGCGTCTGGATGGACGGATGGAGGCAGCCAGGCCGGGCGCAGGGTGAGAGAGTGGATGGAGCCTGCACTCCACCTGCTCACTATGAAGTCAGGAATGCAGGTTGCCTCACTTCACACCCAGACACCATCGTGACCCGCAGTGCCTGGCTTTGGGGACCCGATGGAATGACACTGACTGCGTCACCTGCAGCTCCACCTGTGGACACCCACACCCATGATCCTGGGAGCCTGGGATGGCGCGAGGCATTCGGCCACAGCAGGCAGCTCCCGGAGGACGGGCCTGGCTCCAGACTTGTCCAGACCAGCAGGCTACCTCTGCTCCCCTGTCTTGCCACTCAGGGGGAGGAAGGCAAGAGGCTCTTATTCCCATTTTCCAGGTGAGTAAGCAGAGGCGTGTGGCCACCTGCCCCAGACCACACCAGCACCGAGGAACCTTGGCCAGACGTGTGGGGGTGGGTGATACAGGGGGAGGGGCATCTCTCACCTTCCTCTGCACCCTTCTTTCACCACGGGGAGCTCCTGCATCTGGCAGCCTCGTGTCAGGGCAGGGCAGAGCCAGAGGAGGTTCTTGGTAGCAGCAACCCTTTAGGCCGCACCTGTCATAGGAATCCACCCCGCTAGGGGAGGAGGAAGAACCATTTTCTCCCACAGTCGGCCACCAGGTGTCTGAATGGCAGGGGGACAGCCTGCACGCCCAAGGTGCTGGAGGCCCAGGCCCTCTGGCCACATCCCTGACCTGGCTTCCAGCTATTCACTCTTCCGTCGGACGTGCCACCGCCCTGAGCTTCAGTTTCTTTTTCTGTAGAACAATCTCCCTCCCACTGTGCAGTGTCTGGGAAGCTCACGCAAGAAACGGGTGCCGAGTGCTGTAGACACTGTAAAGTGCTGTGTACACGCCAGTTCCTCGTTTTCCGGTTCTTCCCAGAGAGGGCTTCGTCTCAGCAGGCTTTTCTCCTGGGAAGTGAGCAAGTTCCCCTGGGATCTCTCGGGCTCGTGGAAAGCTCCCGGGTCCACAGACGCTCTGCGCACGCAAATGATCTGAGTCCACGACGTTCCACGTAGAGGACGTGCTTGTTCAGTGAACACGCCATAAAAACGAGCACGAGTAAAAGACTAAGATAAAAGTCAAGTAGACCCCCGTCCCCCTGGAAAGCGCACCCTGGTTCTGTTTTTAAACACGGCAGGATGTTGAGATCTGATGCAAATGTAGTAAATAAGGATGATGGTGATGGCAACGGAGCCCCCATTCTGTTTTCTGTCTCAAGTCTAGTGCCTAAGCTTCACTGGGGTGCTCAGAGCTGCGGCTCAACTGCAGAGGTGTCTCCCAGAGGTCACACACCCCACCTCGCAGCAGGGTGTCGAGGCCAGGCTCTGGGACCTGGGTGTGGACCCTCTCATGGAGCCTAACCCTAGTGGTTGAATGGAGTAGGGAGGCAGTGTAGTTCTTCATGGCAGGTGGCTTAAGCTCAGTTTTCTTGGCGATAAAATGGGCAGACAGGTGCCCCTGCAGCGAGGGAAGGTTGACGTCACTGGGAGCCCCCTCTGCTGGTATCAATGAACTTGAGTCCATGTTTTACGTGAATCATTCAATGTCGCCCAAACTTGACTTGAGTTGGGAGCTACTCGCCCTTCATGCTCTAGAAATAAAGATGCACCGAGCTCTCTCTCTGCGGCTCTCACCTGTCCTCAGGGATCATGCAAACAAATTGTGTTCCTGAGTGACGCCCGAGCTGGACCATCGGGTCTGATGAAGACGAGCCAGCTGCCATCCGGCCACGTCGAAGAGAATGAGCCGCAGCTCTGCTTCTACTGGCTGCTTCCTCTTTGGCCCTGCGGCTCGTTCCTGGGAGACCTTCTGCACACGACCTCGGTCTGAGGTCAGTCAGACGTAGAGCGAGTAGAAGCAGGGAGCTGAGTACATAAAAGCAAAGAGGAGACATCAAGGTGTTTGTGGGCCAGGCCTTGATTAGGCCTCACACACTCAGCCTGACAGCTCATGACTGCGGGCACCTCCTCCCGGTCCACCTGCCACCAGGAACTCTGGTGATTAAGATGTGATAAGGCCAGGGGACACACAGCAGGTTAGAGACAGACAGCTGGCTGACCACCCATCCATCCTTCTTCATCTTTGTTTAGAGAGGGGGGGGGGAGGGAGGGAGGGAGGGGAAGGGAGGGGAAGGGAAGGGAAGGGAAGGGAAGGGAAGGGAAGGGAAAACATTGATCAGTTGCCTCTTGCACATGCCCTGACTGGGGATCAAACCCACAACCCAGATATGTGCCCTGACCTGGAATCGAACTTACAACCTTTTGGTATACAGGACGCTGCTCCAACCAACTGAGCCACCCGACCAGTGCAAGAAAATCCTGTTGGTACAAAGTCCCTCACAGGGATGGGCAGGTAGCCCATCATCCAAGGGGCCCATGGTTTTAATTGCTGGGGCTGCCCCCCCAAAGCCTGCTGAGGGAGGGACCAATGCTCAGAGAGCTGACATGACCCCAGAGGTCCCTGGGCCACCCAGGCTTGGGAGCTGTGTGGTCTAGCCAGCACTTAATCCAGGCAGCGAGAAGTCAGACTTTAGATTTTTAAGTACACAACATTGAACTCGCCCCTTCTCATACCATCACCGACTGTCTCAGTGACAGGATAGGGTGTTTGCAAACTTTCCACCCCCACTTCAAAATTCAGGGATGCTGAACTTTAAATCAAGCTTGCATTATTTGGGGGTTTGAGGTCAGTTTACTCGGGACTAAAGGCACTTCCTGGTGAAGGGGCTTCTGAAAGAGTTCTGGAAGATTCTTGGACACAAAGTTTCACAAAACAGTTTTGCCGAGTGAAGCAGAGACACACAGATTTCGTTCCCGTTGAAATCCACATGGGGACCAAACATCTCAGGACAGGGGGAGATACAGATTGCCAAGCCCCAAATGTTTGAAAACACATTTGAGTGTGTTCGTTTGGCGAATCGCACTTGGGCTTATCTCTCCTAGCCCCGCAGTGATGAGACTTCCCTTCTGCCTTACTGAGGAAGCGTCCTTTGGGTTTTTGCCATGATTCAAACTCTGGGGTGGGTACAGGGTGGGGAGAGGAGAAGTTGTTCAAACCTGGGTTCTCTGGAGTCCAAGCTCCTCACTCAGAACTCTTGAGGGTCCCTGCAATCAGAAAGTTCTATAAAGCACAACCATGGCCCTGGCCGGTTTGGCTCAGCGGTTAGAGCATCGGCCTGCGGACTAAAGAGTTGAGGGTTCGATTCTGGTCAAGGGCATGCACCTCGGTTGCAGTTCGGTCCCCAGGTTGTGCGGGAGGCAACCAATTGATGTGTCTCTCTCACATCAATGTTTCTCTCTCCCAACCTTCCACTCTATCCGAAGATAAATGGAAAAGTGTCCTCGGATGAGGATTAAAAAAA